CAAGATGAAGAGAATGAAGAAGAATATTATATAATCTTACTTACTATTATCACAATCAAAGAAATGAGTTCATTTCGTTGACGAATTGATTATAAAAAAGAACTGACATTTTAACAAACACCCGAACATAAAGAAAGAGAAAAAAAAGCAGTATATATATGTATGGTACGACTTTGATGTGTGTGTATATATATTATTATACATACTGTTGTATAAAAGTATAGAGAAGAATAAGTTCTTCTTTTTTTTTGTAATAGAAGTAGTGCCGTTGACCTGATCGATGGCATCGATGCGAGCAAATGCATATATACATATATATATATATGTTGTGTAATGAAGGCATCGTCTAATCTTTCCAGCAGCAGGCTAAATAAGATCTATACTCGCTTGTACTATTGTTGAGACATCATTCATCAAATTGAATATCGCTCGTAGTGCAAGTGACAAACAACAGAAGTATATAACACATATAAACGACATTCGATCTTCATCGTCTCCGTTTGTCGTCAGTTTTTTTTTTCTTTTTTTTTTCATCGTTGTTGTAGTCGTTGTTGCATATACCCTCAAGCATCGACATTTGAATATATATTTCTCGCGCGTCTGTGCGCGTGCACACGACTAATCGCTTTATCTTACTTACAACAACAATACAACTCACCACATACATACATAAAACGATGTATGCATTTTAGCGAGTATATAAATGTGTGCATATTCAATTGTTGATGATAGCCTTAGCGCACAACATACAGCAAAAACTCTCCCTCTCTCTCTCTCTTCTCTTATCCATCTTTTTGTCGTTCATCCTTGCTGAAAAATGTGTGCGTGTTTGAAATGATTGGTTGTCTTGAGTAAAAGCCTTGAGGCCAGTTGATCGATCGATTGATCGATCATATGATCTTATTGATTATCTATCTTAGGGTCAGTCGATACACTTTAGTCTAGTTTTCTTTTTTCTTTCTCTCACCATCGTTTATGCTTATAAATCAATTATTATTGAAAATTTAGTTAATGTTGATCTGAAGAAATGTTCAAAAGAAACAACAACAACAACGATGATGACACAATAGAAAAAAATTCTAATTATTATTGTTTCATATAAAATTAATTTTTTCTGTTTTTGTCATACTTGAAATTCTATAACTAAACTTGATTATGATGTTTTTTTTTTTGAACTATGTTAACTTTATAAGGTTTGACAGGAAATGACGAACAATTTTCTATTTGCTCATTTTCTATAGTCATTGATTTTTACAATAGATTTTATGAAAAGAACATAAAAAAACATCTTCATCGGATGTTGAATAGTAAACATTTTTGTCAGTGAATTCAAAGAATAAATTGATTTATTTATTCAATTTTCTTATCTTAAATTGAAAAATCTTACAGATAATAATATTCAATAGTTTATGTATATATTATAGATAGACTAAATAACGAATTTATGATGAATATTTATTTGTCAGCTCATCATTTATTGATTTATCAACAGACTCAAGCTTTTTTTTTTCAAAAAAGAAAGGAAAACGAGAATGTTTTCTACATCATAGTTGTATACTATTTTTTTCATTCAACATATTGATTAATTAAACGCATATGACAGTCATCTATAGAAGACAATCAAATCTTTGTTGATGATTTTTTTTAATAATGAAATGATACTATATTTGTTTTTCATTGATTAAATATCTATAATAAAAAAAAGAAAGATCTTAATCTACTAGATTGTTTGCATGATATGTGGGATTTAATTATCAATTTTGGATTGGTTACATTTGTTGTGATGCATGTATATTCAGTACATCATCATAGTTGCTATTGTAGACTCTATATAATGTTTCTTTCGTTGACATAGTCACTGGAAGCAGTAGCAGTCTTGTTATCATTATCAATGTCAGACTACAATCTTACTATCTTTCGTTCGTTAATAACTTAGAAAATTGTCATCTCATTACGGTTGTCATTCTCATTTATGTTTCTGTCTTGTCAGATTGTTTTTTCTTATTCTGTAAAATGAGACCATGAGCAAATGTCGAGAAACAATAAAATGAAAAATCTTTTCGGATGCGCACTCTCGATATCTTCTTTGTAGCATCCAAGTAGACTGAACATTGATGAGACCGTTGAATGTGCATAGAATCTCGTCCACAATAACAATAAGACAGGAAAAGAATGATGAAAGAGAGAGAGAGAGAGACAAGCATTTCTACACTCTAATGCTTTTGCCGTTATAATGATGCATTTATATAGGAAAGAAAAGAATTAGAAGACCAGCAAGCCTTGACAACTACATAAACTGTTGCCTGGATAGGTGGTGATTCTATCCAACAAAATACAACCTGCCTTCTTTCTTTTTGATAATTATCAGTAGATATTTTTCTAAAGGTCTTCGGTTTGTTATTATATTTGTATGATTATCAATAAATGGTTGATGATACGCACTTGAAACGCAGAATGATAAGAAAAGATTGATCAATTAGATCTTTGTTTGTTATCTAGAATATTGACAAGAATTACTTTTCTGTTTTCTTTTTTAGATGATAATTACTATGACATCGCACTTTGATGTAAATCATTGATATAGAAAAACATAGATTAGAGTAAGTTTATCATCTTGATTTATTATATTTGTATTTAACTATCATATGACTCGTAATTTAGGTAAAATATATTATTACTTGATCGAGTTTTCAAGATGAAAATATTTAATATTTCATAGTAAAAAAATTTTATCGTGTATAACAAGTGATGCAGAAAAATGCTTATGTCTATTGTTTTTCATCTATGGAACTTATATATTATTACTTCAACTTCGATAGTTAGTGAACAACAATTACAGTTTCAATTACTTGACATTATAATTGGTAGGTAACTTATAGAGTATTCTAAAATTATCGGGCATATCTAGATAAATACGTAAAAATGAATTCTTTGATTATTAGAATTCATAAGACTAACATACAATATTCCCCGATTGCATTTATGCAATTACTAACGCATTAATTAGTTTTCTTATTTCATTCTTTCAACTTTTGCTAATTGAAGAGAAAAAATTGAGATAATTGGAAAATCGCATCTTCAATTTTTACGATGCTTTGTGTGTGAGTGTGTTTTCTTTTTATTTGTATTTCTAATTATGACTTACTTTTGTTGATTCTTTCTTGAATTTACTTGAAATTAGTTTACTTTATAATTTGAAGATGTCAAATGCCGTCAAGGACATTTTCTTTCTTCTGTCCGATGACATTCTGTAGCCAATTATTTCCGAGAGATAAATCATTAATAGTCTAAATGTATTTTATATTAAGGAAGTGAATAACGAAACTTGAAATAATTAGATTGAAAATCAAATTGATATGACATTGAGAAGAATTTCCGTTTGAACATATCATTAATACTTTGCCGTTTGTTGGAAATAATTGAGAAAATTTAGAATTATAAAACGTATATTTTGTTTGTAAATCAAAATCAAGAATATTTTAAGAAAGACTACATCAAGTTATAATGAATCAATGATAAACCTAATATAAGATACGATTTCCAGGAAAACTCAATAACATGTAATGTAATCCATAATTTCTAATAATAAGCAAAAAATATCTTAGTATAGAGAATATCACGTAAATGATACGAAAGGTGATATATTCAAAGTATTAATGCAATGGAATCTTAATTGATGCATTTAAATGAAGCTTTTTTAAAACTTTTTCTTCTGAATTAGAGCATCTTTTTCCTGTTGAAGCTCAATTTCAACATTATTCTTAGGGTCAAAAAGTTGAATAGTACGTCAATTGAATTTCTCCCAAAATCCTATTATATATTGGTTCAATTGTTGATTCATTGGAACTTGATGTATTCTTTGCAACAATGTCATTGAGTTCAATTTAAAAACAAAGTCTAAATTTTGTTATTCAAAATTTTGTTCAATATAGTATAAAGCTTCAGTGATTTGATGAAACGGAAATTCTTGTCAATGTCACATTGATTTTGTTTTGATGCTAGCTGCTTCAAGAATCATTGTTGATTTTCTTAATTTAAAATGTAGTTGAATTATTAATGATTTGTATCTTGGAAAGTTTTCATTAGAATTACCAAAAAAAAAGAAACACTATAAAAATTACAAATTGATGGTCATACCTGAAAGGGTTAAAACATCTTCGTCTGATAAATATATCCTAGTGTCGTGACTCAATCAATGGATGTTCGCCGGTTGGAAAAGATTTTATAGATATGCCATTTTTCTCTAATAACACTTGTTGAGAGCAAGTGTTTGCTTACTCTCATCTAAGTAATCAAAGAATCTTGTTTTATTTTCTTGTGTTCGTCTACATGAGAAATATATGGTATCGAATCGTAACCACGAGAAAAAAATTTCCAGGACCGAAACTCAAGTTTCTACTAAAATATTCTATGATTTTAAGTAAATTATCTTATGAATTATAAGCGTTAGAATAGAATTCAGAAGACATGACCCGAAAAATGGCTACTTCTTAATTGCGGATAAAATTTCAGCCCTCACCCACACTGTCGGCATGCTAATTGGTTTGATTTTCGTCCGCAATCAAGAAGACACGCGAAAAATCGCTAGTCGTCGACTAAATAAATAAATAAAAATCATTATTGAATCAACAATCAGTTGATAGATCAATGATTCTTTCGTGCTGTATATATAGATTTGTCACATCTTCATCTTGCAGAAACCAAAATATATAATCGACTAAAAAAACAATATTTTTGTTTCTGAAGATTTGTTCAAAATCTAAATACAAAAAAAAATGAAAAATGAATGTTTTGTTTTTGAATTCATTCCCATTAACCGATTAGTAATGATCCAACAAAGCGGCTAGTTCAAAAATTCTCGGTTTAATACAATTCTGATATATTCCCCCATTTGTGGACTACTTTGTATTAAATAAAATTAGAAAAAAATTGATCGATTTATGATCTATTTTTCAGGTGGTGTCTTTACCAATCAAGACGACGGTATATATACACAAAATATGGAAAGCATTTTTAAGTATGCTATATTTCATTATAATCGTTTGGATAAAGACGCACATAATTTATCATATAAAATACGTCTACAAGAAGAAACATTAGGTTTAACAGCTTCTGAGTCAAGTATACAAGCTGTTCATGATGGTATTCAAATAATTTTCTTTTCTTCTTGTCTTTTTTTTTTGTGAATTAATTAATCTTTTAGTTTGTTCACTTGTACATCAACGTCGTGTACAAGGTATCTTTGGTCCATCTTATCCTGAATTTGCAACACTTGTTCATTCAATATGTTATCGTGTTAATATACCACTTATAAATGTTTGTTCATCCTGTTATATGACTGAAAATTTAGCTGGAGATATTGATGATGATACTGACCAAAAATCAAAACATGATCGTATATCAATTAATTTATATCCATCCATTCAAGATCTTAATATAGCATTTGATAATTTAATACATAAACTTCACTGGTCTAAATTTCTTATTATCTATGATATAGATTCAGGTAAAAAAAAAAAGAAAAAGAAACAAAAATCAACATTGAACATTTAACAAAAAAGAAAAAAGATTTATATGAAAATATTCTAGGTTTAATACGTTTACAAAGAGTACTTAATGATCCTAATTTCAATCAAACTGATATTCTTATACGACGTTTTATCAATTATCAAGATCGTAGTGCTCTTGTTGATGCTATTGGACGAGATATATTTAATATAATATTAGATTTAAATGATGTTAATACAAATACTATATTAAAAATGGCTTTACAAATGGGTATGATTAGTCCAAATTATCATTATGTATTAACAACATTAGTATGTAGATAGATTTTAAATATTATTTAAAATGTTATGATATTTATTTCTTATTTTTTTTTTCGTATTTTAGAATATTGATACCTATGATTTAGAAGATTTTAAATATAATTTTGTAAATTTAACATCATTTCGTTTATTTGATCGCTATGATACACGTGTACAAACAGCAATGGATTCATTTTTAGCATTTAAAACAATGTCAAATAATGATTTTAATCAACGATTATTCACAGTAAGTTATTCGTAAAAGAAATCAATATGAATAGAATAAATTTGTTTTTTTTTTACTTGTTCTTTTTTTTATTTATCAATGATCGAAACATTTTTGTCTCAGTTTAGACTTCAGTAGCATTATGGGTTGATGCAGTACTTGCTTTTGCATATGCTTATGATCAATTGATAAAATCTTATTCAAATGTTACTTCTGAACTAATGCGACCAAATATTTCATGTGTTCATGGAACTGATTGGCCATTAGGTCTTGAACTTTATTCAAAATTTAAACAAGTAAATTATTTGGTTTAATAAAAACATGATTTTATTAATTCATGATTCATAGATATCATTTCATGGTATTACGGGAAAAGTACAATTTACATCTAAAGGTGAACGAACGGGATTTGAACTTGATATTGTACATTTATCTGAAAATGGTTTATCAAAAGTAAAAAGAAATGAAAAGAGAACAAACTTTGCAAAAGAAAATTCACGCTTATATTCATTATTTCAGATTGGAACATGGTCACGTGAACAAGGTGCAAACTTCACACTAACATCGGTATCACGTGGAAGTATATTTAACTCTACATTGATTGTTACGACTATTATTGTATGTAAAGAGAAAGCTTATTTTTGAATATATCTTGTTGTTTTGTTTTGGTCTTGTGAATTCTATAGGAAGCTCCTTATGTAATGTTGAAGAATAATGAAAATTCAAGTGGAATATTAAATTTGACGTATTCCAATAGTGACTTTGAAGGTTTTTGTATTGATTTGCTTGAAGAAATTGCACATGAACTTAAATTTTCTTATAAAATTAAACCAATTACAACAGGACGTTATGATGATATGGTTGAAGAAGTTAAAAATAAAGTAAATAAAAACAAGCACACACAAAACAAACATGAAATACTCCATTTTCTTATTTATTTAGATAGCCGATTTAGCGATAGCACCATTAACCAGTAAGTATTGAAAAACAATGAATTTATAAACTTTCAGCATAATTCGTACGAAATTTAATATTACACACGGGTGAAAAAGAAACATGAAACAGATGACATATTAGATCTTTCTGTCATTGCTTGGAATTATTTTTAAACATGCTTTTAATATATCAAAAAAACACATGTTTCGTATTAAATCTATGGCAGGAAGATATCAATATTTTTAATTATGTTTATTTTTGCACAATGGTTTTAATCCTTTCGTGACAAATCATAAGGATTAATAGATAATCTGCTGAAATAATTAAATTACACCCCTAGACGAAAGCCTTCTCCCCCCCCCCCCCCCCCCCCCCCCCCCCCCCCGCATGTCCTCCATCGTAAAAGCTAGATATCTGTAAATTCCTAGGCACATACTCCACAAATAATGTAGTTCAGTATCATCGCCAGCAACTCGATTGGCATATTAGAAAGGAAAATATGATGGACGAGATTTATTTTTCCTTTAAGCTTCATAACTCTGGAATAGAAAAATGCCGTGGGTAGAGGATCCATCATTATGTAGCTCTGTGTTTTAGCTATCTGTCATATAAATTTTATAGAAGTTTGTCAACTCGTGCAAGAACTTTGGTTATTTTACTAGAACCATTAGTTTTCATAAAAACCATCTGTATTGTCTTTTGAAGATTCATAACTCAGTGATAATTCAATGAATCGATACAAAACTTACAGAGACGCTTTCTCCATAACTGAGCATTATTGCCTGCAATTTTCAGAATCGAATGCTATAGTAGGGAGAAATGGATTCCCAATGATCATAGGAATCTTTCATAGTTCTGAAGTTCAGGGCAAAAAAAAATAGATATCGTTCATCATAACTCCGTTTCTAATCAACTAATCGAGATGCGGGCGATACCACAAACCTACATTACTTGTGGAGTATGTGTGCAAACATTTTGAGACCTATAACTCTTATGTCGGATGAGATCCGAGGGGACAAAGAATCTTGTTTAGGGTGTATTTTTATTATTAAAAGGAAATGAATAAAATCTACTTAAAAAATAAATAAATAATTTCTATAGTTCTTTTCTTTTCGACTTTGACAATAATTTTTATTTACTTATATTCTTATTAAAAATCATTTTCTCCGTTCGGATTACTATTTAGATTCTGTCTACTGCTTTCTGTAGCGCAAAAACAAACGGAAAATAAACTTTATTGAATAGACATAGCATCAATTGTATATAAAGTTTATTCATATAATTCATTGCGTTCAAGATTAAGGCTCTACTCAACAACTCATCTTGAATCAAATACATTCAAATCGTATGAAAATTTCAGGAAATGTTGTAACTGTAGTAGATAGCCAATGCTAAAATTTTCAGTTCTATATCAAAATGTTTCCGAGATATAGTCAACAAATTATGGATGACATTTATTCTCTTCAGACCTTTATTTTATAATTTTTTGAAAGAGCATGTCAGATTGTAATGACTTTTTTTCAAGTCTTTTTTTTATGCAGAGAAAAAGATGAGACAAGTGTAATATCTATTTATACAAGTACTTTTTCTATATTATAATAAAAAATCTTAATTCAAGAAACGGATACAACAGCTTCACATTCTCTGTCAAGAAAAAAAATAGGCAATTAAGTACAATAAAGCTTCTTCTAGAATCCTCGGATGTTCTGAGTTTTTCCGAACAAAAACATTTTTCAAGCAGAAAATGACAAAAAGCATCAAAAACTTTGGCAAAAAATCGAGATGTCAAATAAAAAACTATATTATTTATGAAAGATCAGACTTCGGACATTATATTCTCATGCATTTATCTCAGTTTCGATTAATCTAACAAATATTGACTTATTTTCAAGTCAGGATAGCTTCAAAATAAATAATATTTTATTTGAATTTTTATTTTAGTTAATTATGCACGTGAAAAAAAAATAGATTTTACCAAACCATTTCTTAGTTTGGGTATAGCAATACTTTTTAAAATACCCAAACCTGAAAAACCAAGTTTATTCAGTTTTCTTAGTCCATTATCACTTGAAATATGGGTGAGATATGATTTTATTTAATTTTTTCTTTTACTTACCAACAGACAATAATACATTCATTTATTAGATATATACATTTGCTGCTATATTTACCGTTAGTTTTATTTTATTAATAATTGCTCGATGTTCACCTGATGAATGGCGTAATCCTTATCCATGTGATACTGATTATGATTATTTAGAAAATCGTTTTACTGTTAGCAATACACTTTGGTTTTCAATTGGAACATTAATGCAACAAGGTAGATTGAAAAGAAAAGTATATTAAAAATAAATTCTTTTATTCTTTTTGTTTTTTGTATTCGAAAGGTTCTGATGTGAGTCCTTCAGCTATGTCAACACGTCTTATTTCTGGTATTTGGTGGTTTTTTACATTAATTCTTATTTCATCATACACAGCTAATTTAGGTAAAATGAAAAATTTGACTCTTGTTTTGTGTAACGAATTGAACAGAGAAAATATCACACATATGAAAATTTGTTTTGTTCTCTTAAATTTGATCAAATGAATTTCTTTTGATATGACAATGGCAGGATAGAATATATTGTCTTCATCGCATTTACATGTATTTCAACGAATAATCATATAATGTTCTTTTGTAATAATGAAAAAGTAATGAAAACTTCTAAATCTTGAGTTCTGAAATGAAACATTAGAAGAACACAAATTACTATTTTCTCTTTTGAAGTTACCCAAAATGAACTGGTTACAATGGGTAATGATGCACAATCTTTTTGACCATTCGTCTCTATATTAATACATTCTATACTCACTTCTGATTGCTTTTCAATAGGCAAAAAAAGTAAAAACGCATTGACGATTGATGACATAGTATCTTAGTTTGAAAGGTTTTCTCAAGCCTTGAGTTCAAAAATACAAAGCGAGTCTTTTTCTACGGTTTTCATCATTTCAGTTGCAGATGAGAGACTTCAGATTATAGCGTGCGGAGTCCGAATCCGAAAAATTTGGATTCAATAGACTCTATTCTACACATTTTTTCGATGAGTCGTCTGAGAAATTTATGGAGCGTAGTCGTCAATGAATACAAAAAGAAACTGAAAAACATATTTCGTATCTTTGGAACGTTTATTCTAGTTCAATTAGAAAATTTCCTTGAAAATATCAAAATACCGTTCAACTATATTCGGGTCCCAAAATTTTTGATCCGATGTGTTCTAGTTGAGATATACTCGCTCAATGAGAATGTCGTCCAAAGTAGATCACCATCTAATTGTTCTAGCCTGTTTTAACTACTAGAGGACTTCGTTTCAGAATATGATTTTATGTCCCAACAATTGATAGATATCAATCGATATCTTTTCCAATGCAATGGCGAGCTGTTAGACCTCTGGTAATTTTAATATATTTTAAAAACGATTAAAGAAGATCTTGATTTAAGCGTAACACTTCAAACTAGATAATATTCGAAAACTTGAAAGATTTCGAATAAAGCCTTGAAAGCTGACTAAATAAGCTAAATAATGACTTGCAATATGGCGTCATTTTTTCTATCCAATCCTTTATATATAAAATGTATTTAAATCATTTTAGCTGCTTTTTTAACTGTTGAAAAACCTGTTAATTCAATTGAAAGTGCTGAAGATTTAATTAAACAAACAAATATCAAATATGGTCTTCTTCGTGGCGGTTCAACAGAACAATTCTTTCGAGTTGATTTTTTATTCGTTTATTTTTTTCTCTTTTATTAATTTAAATTTTATGTTTTTTTTATTATCCAGGAATCAAATATTCCAACTTATCAAGCTATTTGGAGATATATAAGTAGTAATCCAGATTTAATTGCTCAAAGTAATCAAGAAGGTGTAGATCGTGTTAAAGGTGAATCATATGCATTTTTTATGGAATCAACATCAATTGAATATATTGTACAACGTGCATGTAATTTAACACAAATTGGTGGTTTACTTGATAATAAAGGTTATGGTATTGGTTTACCAGAAGGTTAATTTTATATGTGAAATTATTCAAAAAGAGGAAGTAAAAAGGAATATGTTTATTTGTTATTTTAGGAAGTCCACATCGAGAACGTGTTTCTGAAATAATTCTTGATTTACAAGAAAAAGGAATTGTAAATTAAAAAGATTTTAAAAAAATAAAAAAAAAAAACTAAATGTTTTGATTTTAGATTCAAAAATCTTATAATAAATGGTGGAAAGAAAAAGGTGCATGTTCATCAGACAAGAAAGATTCAAATCCTAATCCATTGGGTCTTACAAATGTTGGTGGAATTTTTGTTGTACTTCTTGGTAAAAATAAAATTAATTTATAAATTTTTATACATTTCTTTTTCAATTTATTTACTATTCAGGCGGTGTTATTCTTTCATTATTTGTTGCTATTTTGGAATTTTTATGGCATGCAAGAAAAAATCATGCGAATCGACGAGTATGTTGATTCATAAGAATTTGATTTCAAAATTAGATTATGAATTAAATATTTGTTCTTTTCGCCGATTTTTGAGTAGTGATAAAAAATAACTTTTCTAATCATTGATTACTGGACACTTTATAATAAAAAGAAAATAATCTATTTTTAGCATTCTGTTTGGTGGGAATTAATCAAAGAAGTTCGCTTTTCAATTGAATGTGGTGCCTCAAATCGTAAAGCACTTAGTACTCGTCGTTGTTCCCAATGTACAAATGATCATCAAGATACAGAATTAAATTCCATACCTTATCAATATCGTCGTCGTTCATCTAATAGTCATTCACCATCAATTGCATCAATTAATTTTGGAACACCTTTAAAATCACCAAAAATTCGTACAAGCATAGAAGGAACATCTGATTTAGATAAATTTGATACAGCACTTATGCTTGCTAGTGAACAAAAAGATTATTTGGATACATGTAATAAACAACAATATTATTCATCTAGATCGTTCAAAAGAAAATCTATTCCATTAATAATTGTTGAACAACAAACATCAAATCATGTGCAACAAGAGATTCGACCTCAGCATGTACGATTTCTTACAAGTGCAAGTAAGTTTTATTTTTAGTGTAAACAACAGTGATGAAATAATATAAAAAATAATCAAATATTGTTTTATAATTTTTTTTTTCCTCTATCGATAGATTCATCTACAAGACAAAATCTAAAGACTGAACATGAAGCGGATGATACCGATAATTCTAATGATGTTAATGTGCCATTAAATTCGACCTCATCAATGACTTCTCGTCTTCCTTTACGTATATCTCGATTGTGATTTTTATTAATGTATGTGTTCGTATATGTATGTGTGTATTTTTCAATTGTTACTTGTTCTTGTTCTTCTCTGTTTTTTTTCGTTTGTATGAATAAAAAAAAAGTAATAAAAAAAAATAATAAACTAGTCTATTACAAAGAAACAAAAAAAGATTTAAAGCCAATTTGTTGTGGTTTCTGTTTTGCGTGCAAACAATCTATAATTCAATAGAGCAATTTCGTGTGTCATAACCTTTGCCTTTCGTTTAATGTTTTGACAACAGTTTGTATTGTGTCTGCTTTTCTTGTTTTTTTTTAGCAACAAACACAAAAAACAACAGAAAGTCTTTTGTTTTCTATGAAGCCATTTCAATTTCAACAGTAAAAAAAAAACATCTGTATAAAAGAATAGGCGTAGGAAGGGAAAAAGAAAAAGATGGTGCTATATAAATACTGTTGTACATTGCACATTTCATTTATTATTATTCAGAAGTCCCAAGACAAATGTCGCGCTTGTCAAGTCGTCGCAATTTAAGTCTGAAAGAACTATCTACTTTTAATGAACCACCAGGATCAAATCTCATGTTTCAATGGTCTATATCGGCTGCTGATTCACCTTGCTTAGCAGATAATTCGTCAGTTATACTTCCTTCAATTAATACTACTCGATCTCAAAGAAAAGTTTCTACTGATTCTTCATTAACACGTAAGTCTATTTCAATTACAATTGAAAATAATAAAACATCTATATAGTTTCGAAATAAATTTGAATAAAATTAATTAAGATAAACATTCATTTCTATTTGTTATTGTCGCAAAAACTATGTAAAATAAAAATTCTGAATTTTGAAATTACTCATACATATTTCATGAGAAATCCTAAAAAAAAGATATTTAAATAAATTATTCATAAATTTACATCTATTTTATATTATCTGTCTAGATGTAAGTTCAACCAGTTATTCTTCGATGTCAACACGAAAATCTTCATATCTACCTTTTGTCAACAAGAAATATCATTCGTCAATATCACCTGAACATGATCAAAGTTCTACACAAAATAGTCCATTATTACTTAATTATAGTCAATTACATCCAGTATTATGTTCTTCACCTACAAAACAACCGATCGAAAACAGTCTTTTTATTCCTTCAATATCCGATAATAAACGAAACAGTGTTTCTATCCATTCAATATTCGGTGACAAACAAAACAGTGTTCCTGTTAATCCAATATCAGATACAAAACGAAATAGTGTTTTTCTTCATTCAATATCCAGTAATAAGCGAAGCAGTGTTTCTATTCGCTCTATATCTGATAAAAAACGAAATAGTATTTCATCTGTGAACAGTAAAGTATCTTCTACATCAAAAACAACAACATCATCAAAGACTAAAGCACCTTTATCATCGACAAAACCTGAACAACGTTTATTAAATAATAATTTAGTACGATTAAATACCGCACAATTACGTCGATTAAATGTATCTGAAAAATATATGGATGAAGCAAAAAAACTTTATTTTAATATTCCTTGTAGAAGTTTTATTCCTCGTGTTGTAATGGTATAAATTTGTTAAAAGAAATAAATCATTAAATTTATTTAAAAAAAAAAAAAAAAAACAAATTATTTTAATGTTTTAGGAAAAGAAAAGAAACAAATCAAATTTGTTTCTTAATAATTATTCGTTGTCATTAGATTCATTTTTATCAGATATTGTTCTTATAGTTGACTTAGTTGCAGCTGTTGAAGGTTTTGAAAATGCAGTTAAAGACTTTAGAACACTAGTACTACTACTAGTATTATTTGCACTATTTATTGTTATACTTTTTGGTAGTTCACGTAATTCTTCATCAATTTTTACAATAGGTAAATACATATGTGTATCAGTTAATTTACATTGTTTTTCTAAAAATGTTTTTATATATTTTAAAAGTGTTGTTTCTGTCATTGAATTATGATCTTCATTACGTAATAAAACTAATTTTTTTCCTTGAATATTTACACATGCATCATGTAAAATTTCTGAATGATTCGGTGGTATAAGTATATCATTTGAACCATGAATAAAAAGTACGGGACATTTTATATGTTTCATTGTTTCAAGATTATTCCATGAATGACTATTAACGAATACTGAAAGAATTCCAATTTTTTCTCGTACTAAATTATTAATTGAAGTATAAGGAGATTGTAATATTAATGCACCAATTGATCGTGTTGATGCAAGATAACATGCTGCACCACTACCAATGGATTGTCCATATATAATGATTCTTTCAATTGGCCAATTCAGAATATTATGAACAAAATTTATTGTTCGATCAGCATGATTATTAATTGTTTGTTGATTTGGTGATTGTGCTGGACATAATCCATATGATGGATATTCAAAACTTATAATATATAAATTTAAGTGTTTACTAAATTCACTTAAAGTATATTGCATTGTACCAATATCACAGCCATTTCCATGACAAAATATCATAAAATATTCAATTTTCCTATCTGAATTCTCCGGTGAATAAAACATACATGGTATAGGTAATTCATTATCTGAATCAGACGGTAACCAAAATAAATTATCTCGATATGATGTTAATGTATAATGTGGTGGTTTTGGTGCTGGAAAAAGAATTTTGTTTAATAACATCTGAAATATTTGAAAAAAAAAGAACTATCCAAAACCGATTCTTAAAATAAACCACTTTTAGATTCCAGAAAAACAAAAAAATATAATACAAAAGAAAAATAATACTCAATAACATTATGCTATCGAACAAGATGAACAACATGGAGAACGTGAAGGATGAGAAGAACTAACGAAACTTGAAGAAGGTGTTTCATATGTTGGTTGAGTATGTTGTAACAGAGGAGAAGATTCATCTGTTATAGTTGAACTATCGATTATTGGTTCAATAATTATTGCTTGTCTGTCCAATGTAGATGTTTGTTCAACATTTTTATCATCGATTTCTACAGATGACAGTATAACATTATCGATTTGTATAGGTTTTTCTATTTCATCACTAATATTATTTGACGGAGGATGAAATGAATCTGAATCATTGTTAACTAAATATTATAAACAAACATTACATTTTCACTTGTGTTCAATAACAAATGGAATTTAGATTTAATTTATTTTGTAAACATTCTTTAGAAAATAATATAAATAATATCTATCAACTTACATAAATATTGTTCATAAAATATTTCATAATAACCATCTTGTTGTTTTTTCATCATATTACATAAATGAATTGATCGACAATTTTCTATACCAAAATGATGATCAGTATATTTTGAATCCCAACATTGATCAATTTTTTTTACACCTTGATATATAGAAAAAAAAATTTTCATTATAATATTTATCATGAATAAACAAACCTTTTCGATGTAGATCACGTGCTTTTGAAAGTTTAAATAATGTTAAATGCGGATTAAATGAACGAACATCTGTTGATATAATACCATTTTTTTCATAAGTTTCTCGACATATTTCTTTAAATAAATAATAAGAAGAATTTTTCAAATTGCAAAAAATACAAAAAAATATAATATTATACCAGCAATATGTGTAAGTACATCAAGATGAGCATCTTTAACTGGATTCATATAAAGTACTTTATTATTAAAATGAGAAAGACCAGTAAATGTGATTTGTGGTGGTGGTAATTTAGCCAATGCAACTTGATGATATACATCAATAAGACTTTGTCGAGCTCTATATAAGAAAAAAATTATGAAATAGAATAATTGATAAATATCAAAAAAAAAAAGAAAAACAATCTAGATTAGTATCTTTGAAATAATTTATTTCATTAAGATTATATTTAGATTTATTGAATCTTTATGTATATGCCATATAACATGAATATAAACATCAATATATCAATTGAATATATGTTATGCTGAATTTAAACTGAGTTTTTTATTTTTATTGTAAGGTTAACATGACACTATATGTTCTATTGTTGATGAAATCGAAGTTTAAACTCAAGTGAATGAAGCGATTGGTTTCATTTTATAAAATAAAACCTTAAGTTGATATAGGAAATTTAATGAGATTATGATTAATAGATCAGAAATCGGCAATAAAATGTGACTTGAAAAAATAATAGTTTTCTTAGAGTTATTTCTTAGTTTATCAGAAGTATCGAAATGTTAACAGATACCTTTCGATAGTATATAACACATCTTAACTAAGTCCTTATTTTCAATTTAGTCTATTAAACAATCAAATAAATATCAGTGTTCTTATAAAATCTTGTAAGAATATTGATAAAAAGAAACTCTGCAAAGCTTGTCATGATCATTATTTTTATAATAATATCTACATTATTTATTTATTCTTATAATGTGCATTATTAAAATAATGAATAAATAATTATAATTATATATTTTGTTCATAATATCCATCAATTAATTCATGTCCATTTTGTTATTTAGTTGATTTCAATGACCTTGACAAACATATAAAAATCAGCATGACATATTCAACAAAAAAAGTGCATCAAATCCATATCCATACAAAAGAATAAAAAAGAACAAAAAACATATTAAAAGTCATGTAAATAACGTAACAAATCATTTTAGAGGTATCTAAGAAGCCAATTAATGATGCACATTCAATGTCATGTCATCTTTTCAGTTTCAAATCGCATAATAATTTCTTCCTACATATACAATAAATTAAAATTAAACATAAACAGACTGTCACTCGAGCGAAATTCGAACAGAACATGCGTATGAATGCATGAACAATGAATATCTTAATATTTTTTCTTTGTAAAACAGTTCTTAATATTAATTCGTCTATAGTATGTTTTCGATACGAAACGAATATCAAATATAAATGAAAAATTATTTCTCATATTGTCGTTTTTCTAGATGTTTGAAACTTTTATGCGGATAAATCTAAGTCACACAAGACGATAATTAAAGTATATATTCATTTACCGTCTAAGATATGAATGATCGTTTTAAGATTGAATCATGTATTACCATATGATGAAAATTATCAACTGTTAATCATTCGTTTCTGCAAATTTATATCGCCTGAATGCCGTTGAATTTAGAACAAAAATTTTCTAATTTGAACGCAAACTCAAGTATAAAGAACAAGTGCGTGACGGTAATCGTGACTAATATGTCGAGTGGGAGAACAAGTAGAAAAATAAACTGTAGCAACTAAACAAATAATAAACAATTAATCCGTTGCTGTACCTCTTGAAATCAATCGTCATAAGTATTGACGTCAACGACAAATATTTTTAGTTTTTTTTAATTAATTATATTAGTCATCTCAAAGAAAAGATTTTTTTTCTATTATAGTATAACAATAATAAATTATCCAAATGATCAACTAATACATAAATTTATTAATTATTGTATATAACTTTTTTTCTAATTTCAAAATAATAACAATATCGAATTATTTATTAAGAATAAAATGCACACATATGTACTTAATATACAAACTTTAGTCTTCTAGAATATCTAAATATTCAAAAATTTTAGCGGAGGTAGTTGCTCATATAATTTGGGCGTGAACGTTACTAGCCAGAAGAACCACATAGTCAAACCATATCAATATAATACGAGCAAAATACATATCAATGTGTTAATCTATGATGAAGTTCAAATGAGTATTTTCAGTGAACGTGATGATTAGAGAGTACATAGTGATCAGGATTTCAGATTTGGATGACAAATGAAAATGATTTTCGGAGATTAGTCTTAATCATGAGTATTTGACATTTGGAGAAACATTTCTTATACGACGATGACGCCTGATCGAGACTAATTTAACAACATTTGTGAAGTTTTGTTTTAAAAACTGCAAATTATTTGGACATCTTTTATATCGATTTGTCTGAGGAGAAGCTTTTCTATTTTGGAGACTGGTTTTTTTTATCATGTTGAACTACAAACTATATAATTAAAACTTTTGTTTCCATTTTCTATTAATAATCTTTCTTTTCTAAATCTCACGTTCAATGACAATTGGTAATTGCTACATCTAAATATAGAATATTATAAATTAAACCTTAAAACAAATAATCTTATTAAAATTTGTACTCAATATCCTTTTCATTCATGACTATAATGCATCATTATTGATGTTTACAAAAAATAGATCGATGACTCCCTATTCAATAACACCGATCGATTGAAGCACAAGCCAATTAAAATCTATAACCACTAACATCATACCAAATCACACTTCTATTATACAAGTGACACGTGTCAGCTTTTCTCATGTATATATATATATGTAGTTAATGATAAACTGTCCTTAATCATTACTTATTCTTCTTACTATCTATCTGTGTAATAGTTGCATACAAAATACAATGTCGCATATTTTACTTTTTTTATTACTTGGCTTAAGTGTAATGATTTTGGCTGAACCTCCTTTAACAATTGATCATATCAAAGAACGTTTAGAAAATTCAGCTCAACAATTATCAATAGAAAGATTGATCGAATCACCTGATGCTAAATCTTATTTAAATAATTATCTTACAAAAAATTCACCACATATAATAAATTTAAATGAAGAATTAACAAAAATGATTCATGAATGGAGTCCACGTCTTTTAGCACTTGATCCAACATGTCCATATTATTTTTCAAAATTTAATAATATTTCATTACCTGAAGAAGATCGTAATCTTCTTTCATATTTACAAGCAAGTAAGTTTTAAAAAAAAAAAAAAAAGAAATTCTATAATTATTATTTATTTTCATTATTTTAGTTGAATCAAATCAAACAACTGCTTATCCATTTCATAATACTTTACCAAAATCATATCTTAATGCTATTCCACTTTTATCTATTTTTCATTGTAGTGAATTAATTAAGTCAAATTCATTTTTTCATAATATTGAACTTATTATTGGTCCTGGTCAAACTGAATTATCATTAGAAAGACAATCAAATATGTTTTCACAATTATATTGTGTACTTAATGGTTGGCCACATTTTATTCTTGTTGATCAAACCAAACAATCAACAATTACATATAATGCACAAACTTTACTTTCACAAGATAATCTTGCGGATGTTAAATATTTTTCCACAAATTTAGTACCCGGTGATTGTTTATTTGTACCACCTGATTGGGTTACAGGTGCTCAACTTAATAATAGTATTTCATTACTTTTCACATTAAAAAAAATTGAAAAACCAAGTGAAAATACAACTAATGATGAACCATTACCATGTACTCCAACTAGTGAAACAACATTAGACACAGTTGACTTTACTATTGTCGATAAATTCAATATGAGTGACATGGGTTTACTAATTTATTTCTATCAATATTTAAATCCTCCAATATTTGATATTAAATATACTCGTGAAACATTTTTTGATCATTTTCGACAAGATAGAAATGTTTCAAAAATAATTTTTAAATGGACACCAGATTTAATCAGCCTTATTAAAAATACACTTTTTGATGAACTTGATATAAATAAAGATGAAACATTTACTATCGATGATTATTTTGATATTAAACAAACAAGTACGCAACGAATACAAAATTCTGTTTATGAAATACTTGAAACATTACGTCAATCTGTTCTTAAACAATTTAATGAAGTAAATGAAACAATAGCAAAAATTAGTAAGAAATTTGAAACTGAAGGATTAAATGAAAATATGAATGAAGCTCTTCAAGATTTATTAGCAGCTTTACCTGAATCAGTTAAAGAAAAATTACAAGAAAGCAATGTTAATGTTGAAGATGTTTTATATAAACTTAAACATGAAAAACCTAAACGACCATCCATAAATAAAGAACGTGTGAGAGTAGATGATGCTTCAATCCTTTTTGATCAAGATCAATCTGAAGAAATGATATTAGATCTTGGTGCTGATCAAGAAGAAGATATTATAGCAGAACCAATTATAAAAGAAGATGAACTTTCTCATCGAACTGATCTGTGACATTTTTTTTTGTTTTCTTCTTATAATAATTATTCTACTAACCTTTGTTTGTCATCGTCAGTTTTTAATGCAAAAACCATCAGAGTTATATGAAGTGTTGGTATTGATATACTAGCTTTTGATAATAATGGATTAGATTCTATGATTTGTTTTTGAACTTCATTAGCATAATCAATAATCTAAATGAAGATTAAATATTATTTTTGTCTTTTTTTTTTGTGCAAGGTACTTATTCAGAGAATATTTTTTTTTTCATATTAATAAAAGCACTCTTCATAAATCATATATATAACGTAAAAGTTTTTGCAACAATGTCAAAAAAGTCAATTAAAATATATTGCTAAGTTTATAGACTATTAAAATTTGGTTCTCTCTTTTTCGTTGAAAAGAGAAATGTGTGAGCTATCAATTTTTTTACTACACATCTTTTTTTCCCGAACAAATCTTTCGAGAGTTAAAAAGCTATGAAATGTATGGGCCTTGTCAACATTTACACCCACCTCTTCATCATTAAAAATGAGTTTGTTTTATTCTCTTCTGAAATTAGAAGAAAAAAGGAACTTAGAAAAATTAGAAAATAATAGAGTTTCGTGATGAAATGGTGAGAGTATGTGTCGAGATATTTTTCTTTCTGCGTCTTAATAGTTTTGAGGTTTGATCTAGAAAAGTATGTGTGGTACAAAATTTGTAGTTCATGTGTTGCAGTTCCCCAACACAAAGGAAAAATTTTATTAGTATGCAAGTTGGTATTATGCTCTAATAGAGTTTCATATTTTTATGAAGATAAATTCTAACATAGAGAAAAACTTTTATAAATAATGTTTAACTTATAACACAAACCAAAATCTATAAAGTCTGAATTCATGATTATCTAATGCTAAAATCTGATGTTTTACATTTTTCTTTCATAAAAAAATTAAATTCCACTGTTTCTGAGGAAATGAGACAATAATAGAAGATTCTGTGTAGAAAATATATGAAACTCATTAATTTTTATGTTGAAAATTGAATCTTTGAAATTGAGAAAATAAGAAAAAAAAAGAATCATTTTCTTTTTCATATGGGAAATATCTATTTCCATAATATAGACTTGCTGTCATCTCGAATATGTATTGCATGAGATATACTGATCTATATTAATTAAGGCATTTATTTAAAAATTTACTTGTTGATTTGTTATTCTAAAACTTAAAAATGCATTTGGACGTATATTTTTTTGTCGTTTGTCTTGTTTACCTAAAAAACGAAAAAATTTTTATCACAAAACGAATTTTCTCCATTGAATATTTTTACAAATTTGAAAATGTTTTTCTTTGAACAAACCTTTTTGTTTGGTATTTGTTTGTTGTAAAGATTCTTCTTGACTATCATCAGCAACTTGTATTTTTACATCATGGTCTGAAGTCGATTGTGGTCGTTTATTTGATGCAGACTTAATAATATGTTTTCCTTGAGTTAATATTTTTTTTGTTTGTTTAGATGACGCCATTATGATTATCTAAAAATAAGAAAAACTATAGAAACATTTATCTCTTAAAATACCCATGTAATGCTTTGTTAAGTATTCAGAAAGGAAAAATATGAGTAACAATTATTTAAAAAGTTTTTTTTTTATGCTATTTACATAAGATATAGAAATTAAATATTTGCAGACGTTTTAAGAAATGAACTTATATTAGTACTATCATTTAGTTCACAAGGATTTTATCATCAAGTAAATGTACTGAAAACTTCTTAAATAAGTCATATTATTTTTATATTATTATTATAATTCGCTTTTGGAATGTAATTTTCTTTTTAATAATGAGAAAACGTCATAATAAAAAACATCTTATCTTGAAAACAAAACTTTATAAAAGCCGATAATAGGAAGTACATTCTAAATATATTTTTCATGGAAAAAACAATGCATTCTTCAATTCATAGAACATAATTAATGTGATAAATATGTTCATATTTATTCACGACTCGTTTCACCATAACATTATGTATCATTAAAATAAGGAAAAGAAAGTTTTGAAACATAATTGAAGGTCATATTTTCCCATTACAAACAAAAAACCTTCTAATATGTAAATATCTAGTGCGTAATAAAATTATTTGGCAAGGTTTAATTTTCAATTTTTTTGCATTCCTATAACTGTAAGAAAGAATTCAAATAGTAATTTGAAAAACGAAAATAGTTTCCAATGAGAATACAAGGAAATAAAAGTTATTATCAGAATTGCAAAGATAAGAATTCCAGAAAGCTAAAATCCTGATTCGCACAAAGATAAAGTTGATTATTCTCTACAAAAGAAGACATCACCGAGTACTCTGTGACTGAGATATTGCAATCTGAATGAAGATCAAAAAATAGTTGTTCTGTAGACGATTGGAAAAAATCGACTTGATACGCTTCTATAAGATTCCTGTGTCTCACCAAAAAAAAACGTCGTAGAGAACTCGAAGACGTTTCATTTTTATAGAAGATTGTTTGCTTTATTGTTCTATTTAGTCTAAATAAAATTCTATCTACCCATTCTAGGAGTTGAAAAAACTAGACTTCTCGTTGTCCGATATCTCTGTCGTTGCGAGTTTGATAGAAATTTTTATTTGCTTATATTTTTGTTGGAAAGTATTTTCTCCATTGAATTCACAATTTGGATTCTTTCTAACGCGAGATAAAAAACAACTGAATATAAATTTTATAGAATCACTTTGATATCCATTGTATATACATATACAGCACTTGTCAAAAATATAGAAAGGAAGAGATTTTCAATATTTTCTTCTAAGATACCAAACATTTACCTCAAATCGAAATAGTAATTTGAGTATCCAATGACGTTTTCTATGAGATACATTCCATATTAAAGTTTCATAGATGGACTAAAAGACAAAGTTTTCTGAAAATATGAAGCAAGGTACCTTTTAGGTTTCAGAAAACTATGTGAAAATTAATTTTCAAAAATACGACCTTAAAAAACACAAAACCCTGAATAAGAGAAGGAATCACTATGTTTTCCACAAACATCCTTTAAAAAGTTACAGTCCTTAGCATATCCAGCCATGCAAAAAATACCTTGACTGGTAAATTGCCCACAAATCAAAAATCCCTGACTATGCCACTGGTTATAAGTACCACAAAAGAATGAGAAAAAAAACGTGAAATTTATTATATTATTGGTCAAAAACGCCTTTTTTTTTTGTTTTTCATAACGCTTGTAACTTTTTAAGATGTTATACTTGGTATCTTACAAAAAAATTTAAAAAATATGTTAATCTTATATATTTCGGACTGGTACAATAAGTATCTTAGAAAAAAAAGCATGTCTAATCATTTTCTTTGACTTAAGTAACCCATTCTAAAATAAAAACAAACTTCCTAATTTTTTTTTTGTTAATATCTATGAAAATATAATCAAAAACTGATCTTGAATTATTGAAATAAATAAAACATTTAATTAAATAGAAACTATTCTTTTTTTTTCTTTCTGTTAATTATGAAAAACAAAAGCATATAAATATTCACAATAGAAATAAATGTTATTTTTTCTCTCGTTCATATTTTATAATCTCTACATACAACAAATAACATAAACAAAGATCGAAGAGTAATACGTAATGTTAATAACAAGAAGAAGAGAAACAATGACTGTAACATAAAATAGAAAAACCAAAAGAAAGCAAATAAAAAATATTGCAACTATATGGCTTATCATTATCCAATCCATATTCACTGTTTGGAATGAATAATCAACTATAAATCAAAATGAGCATTTTTGTTTTGTTATCTAGTATTATTTATATATAACAATATTGTTATTAATAAAAGAATATAGTTTAATGTGAATTGTTTTGATTGAGAACAAGGATTAATTAATTTAGCTGAATAAATTGAAATAGATGTTTTATCTTCATTATTATTGAATGAACATGTATGACTATTATTTCGAATTATAATTGAATTACCCATTTGAAAACTCTAAAACAAAACAAAACAATGAATATAATATAATTAAATATTTAAACAAAAAAAAACAATAGACAAACATACAAGACAATAACTAGTATTTGAATAATTTGATTGAGCAATAAGATAAATCGTTGATAAATCATTAGATTTCCATGATGCAATACATGTATCCATTTGAGTTAATGAACGATATTCAAGATCTAAATTGTAAAATAAAACATAAACTTCTACAGTATAAACGAGAAAATATAACAGAAAACAAAATAAAGAAATACGATCAATGATTTTTTTCAATTTGTATAAGCATATATCGTTCCTAAACTTCCGACTTTGATCGTTCTTTATTCAAAAATAGCCGAACTCGAATTTTCCGGTTACGATGAACACTTGAACTTATATATAATTCATTTGTCGCATTTACTATCTTATCGATAGTGTCATTTGAATATTTACAATCACTTTGATTATATTCTTTCAAATAGTATTTGTAATACTTACGTCTCTTATAGTATGTGAGACTTTTTTTTTGTTTTATCGAACTTAACTAAGCATCTAGCAGAAATTAATCATAAAGAACAAGAGTTATAATCAAAAATTAAATAAGAGAAAAATAAATTTGTTATCAAGTGTTAAAAATATATGTTAGCGACTAAAACAAGATTCTTATTCATGAACTGAAAAGAATCAATGACATTTCAATTCAATCGGAATTGCTTCTATGAAAGACTGTTTAGATTCAAACTTTGAAGTGATTATATGTGATGATTTTATTCGTTAAAATGTCATTGATTCATTTTAATTCATTAATATGAATTCGATAAACTTTTTAGGTTTTAACATAAATTTTCTTTTCAATCTTATATTGAATGTATTCAATCTTAGATTGAACGTAATCTCAATTTGGTTGCTATAACATATATAATCTATAATACACTTTTCATCTATTTATTTTACTAACAAGTTTATTATCTTTCCTACGTAATTCAAAATAAATTCGATATATTTATATTGAATCTCAAATTAAAATATAATTATATTTATATAAATAATCTTTTCTATGAATTTTCTATTCATATATCAAACCTTTTTCTATTTGATAAATAATTAATTTTTCTTTATTTTCACAACCAATTGACATATGAAATATTTTTTTTCTTGAAACTAATTGTCGATGATAATGATGATTATAATTTGATTCAAATAATAAATGTCCTATTGATGTTGGACATGATGATATATAATTTGTTTGTTTAATAAATGTTAATATATTACTATATTCATTATTATAACAATTATTTATAATTAATTCTAATACATTATTTGTTCGTTGATTTATTTGTAAACATTTCTCATTAACATCACTAGATAATAAAGGAAAAAACAAAACATATTCTTTAAAATTTTTATTTTATGAAATAAATTTTTGTACCAATTTGTAAATATTCGAATACGATAATATGATGAATTTATTGATTGAAGACAATGAAATCGTGTATTATATTCATTTTGTTGAATATGTATTAATTCAATATCATTATTTCTTATAAACATTTGTATTGTTCGATTAAGTGAATACCATTCATATTGTTGAAATTCATCTGGATATGTACAAGATATATTTGATTCATTAACCATATATGGATCTTAAGTAACATAAACAATAAATAATTAATTACTTTCAAAAAATAAAAATAAAAATAAAAATAAAAGCTGTTAACGCAATTCCTATGGGATTAATATATAAAACACGAGAAAGTTGTTCCTGTTAATCACAGCGATAATTATTTTATTCTATCTGCTCTGGGACACATTTCTTCATCAACCTTTTATTGGATACTCTATAAATACAATAAGAAAATAGCTCGTATACTACAATATCCTTTGATCACATATTAGCAAATGCCTGTTACAGTTAGAGATTGACAGGCAATTCTAAAATTTTCGGATCTGAATCCGACGGATTCATCTTACAGTCAATGATATGCACGAGACAGAAGAAATGTTGGTAAAGTGTTTGTCACATCTTTGATGAACCTTTGTTTTAACATGTCTGTGACTATCCTAGAGAAATGTCTATCGGGAAGAGTGTATGCAAATTTCTACACAATATACTTCAACACTTCTTTTAGATCGTATTTCATAAAACAAAAAGTAACTTACTTATTGACGATAATGTCATTACTGTTGCCATATGTCGAGAATTTAGATCACGACATGAATCATCAGTTGCCATACTTAATGAAAATGATGATGATATATCTTTTTCTTTTGTTATATAATACTAAAATGATTAAAATATTGACAAAATAAATAAAACAAAATAACAAAGAATAGATTAATTGACTAACAAAACATGCATATTGATTATCATTATGATAATTTTGTTTAGTAACAATACGAGTAATGAAATATGTATGAAAACCTTCTATCCATGTTGCAACACATAATAATTGAAGATCAAGTTTTTGATGATAAGATGAACATGATGAAAGATGTAAACGAAATTGATAATCATTTATACATTCACCAATATATGATAATGATAATGATCGATGGCATGTTGAACCATCTTTTATTAACTTTAATAAGAAAAATGGTGGTTGAATAGGACATAATTGAGGCTTAGAATTGTCTAAAATTTCATAAAACCAAAACAAATAAGCATAGAAATGAGCATGTTGTCAAACAAAAATAGAAATGCAAATAACATCTTTCTTTTATTCTTTTTTTTCTTTTCTTTGTTATGCATATGAATCCTTTAACCTCATCATCTTATGTGTTTTATGTTAAAACAACAATAATCACAAGCATAATAATAATAACAATACTCACTTCGATGAAGTGTATACAATTGAGCATCGGGTGCAATCATGTTTGGACATAAACTTATACTTGATAGATCATCCGCATCATTACATTCACCTAAATGAAAAGTCAAACGAAGAAAATCTATTGTATAATATTTTCTTAAGAAAAAGAAACATTACTTTCACGATATTGAAGTAAATTGGTATCTCGTTCAATGAATAAAAGACATCGCGTACAACGATTTATACTATTAATAAATAGAGAAGAAAAAAAAAAAAGATGTATGTTAAAGATATTATTATGCTTCAATGCTGATGGCAATCCTTATTTTCTGCTATACTGATTCTATCTATGCACGTACATATATAAATATGATGTAATATCTCGGACATTGAATTTTCTTTTCCTTCTATTCTAACTTGTCTAACAAGAAACAAAAAAAATGAATACACAAGAGACACATATGTGTAACATTTGTTTGAGTTTTTACACTATTTTATTAAGCCGAAAAGCTTTTTAATTAATTTTTCTTTTCACTCCTATATGTCAAAACTACGTTGAACACGCGCTATAGACATGATGATAGACGTATATACTGATTAACTAAGTATAAACAAACTCTTAATGTTGGTAATGATGACAAGTGATTTATACATACCGATCAGTAAAGAGGTAATACTGTTGTATAGGAAGTATATCTATACATCGTCCTTTTGTCTGGATATGATCGATTGTTATCTCTAATAGTGAATTCATTCCACGTTGATACCATAAGCCAAGCCATGCCGTAGGCATATTGCACAACGAGCAAGCTAGAGATACAAAAAAAAACACAATGAGACAACATTTTAAAAAAAAATTTTTTTGAAGGTCACACATAAATTACAATTGATTGTATATGTGTATATTTTTTTTATTTCGTACGAAGCGTTCAATGTCGATACCACGCCCTTCAATCATTTCTCGTTATTCTATCGTGTGTGATGAAAAAATCATTCATATGAATATTTAAACTTTGATTAATATAGAATTTCTTACTAGGTCATCATTTCTTTTTATAATATTAATGAGACACTATACAAAATGTAGACGAATGAAGAAGTAATCTTTTACAAAAAAAATTCAATAAGTCTTTTTTCTTTTCTTGTCCCTTAAGTATTAGATGAAGAAAACTATATATAAATAAAATATTTTTCTTAAATATATATATATATATTGTTGTTTAAGTCAATCATAATTACGTCATCGAACAGATAGATCCATCAATATTGAAATGAATAAACACATCAATAGTACATACACTTAGAATCATCATCAATCGTCATTGCTTGTCTTTAGATTAGATAGTTTCTTATAGGCGAATGCATTATTATAGGCTATACTTTACGAGATGGAATTTTTTCTCATCATCTAGCAACACTTGAAAAAGACAAAACAATTGATATAGCTACTATGAATGTTTCAATCGATCATCAATAGAAGGCTCAAGGCTGACAATAGTTATAAATAGAAAGACAAACGAAATTCTCACATACTTAAAAAAGGCTTCTCTTTTTCTCTTCATCGTGTATATATATATATGCATTCACTTTATAACATCTGCTCAATTCTAATCATCACTTAAATAAGAAACAAAATGACGTAGTAATAACGAATTAAATTCGTTCATTGAACTTCAATGTTCATCATATGAACTTCTCAATTTAATTACTGAGACGATGAATTGAATAGGTTGATTATGACTGAAGATGAACGAGTGGGTGGAGGATTTAACAAAAAAATGAAGAAATGTCTACGGCAGATGGACAACAGTTCACATGCATTCAAATATAAATGACAGTCACGTAGAACGGTGTATTATTTAAATAAATCCTATTGACGAATAGAACGCATGTGAACATATCATTGTTCATTCTTCATCTTCATTCTATCGACAGCTGTCGTGTGTGCGTAAACGTATGTTCCCATTCGATCTATCAGTCTAAACAATCATGTATCTATTTTGACAAATTGTTCACACTTCTGTCATTCAAACGATCATGAAGATTGTTGTATTATTGAACATGAGCAATGATTATGAAAAAAAAAGAAAAAAAAGAATTGAAATATATAAATATTACCTGACTTGATTTGTAAAAATAAAATAATATTTAAAAGAAATAATCGACGAATCCCATTCATCCGTGTGCCATCCTATGATCCTAATGTTAAATATATGTATGTGTATATATATATATATTTTTTTTTTTTTGTCAGTTTTCTTTCTCCTTATGTACAACTAAGAAGAACAAATCTACATTTATAAGAAAATGAATAATGATTAAAAGTGTATAGAGAACGACGCGTCTTCCGCCTTCTTCTACTATACAACGACGACGACAACGACGACACACATACAATCTTTATTTCTTTTCTACATAGGGAGGACGAGAACGAAAGAAAGACAGAGAGAGAGAGAGAGAAACAGTAGAGAGTGATGATCGCCATCGTAATAAGCGACAGAGAGAAAGACATGGACAACAAGAAGAAGAAGAAAAAAAAAGAACAAAGTGGCACGCGAATCACTCATATATAAAAGCATGTTGATGAAGATGTGGAGCCGACAAACAACTGTCCAGTCGACGAACAAATGACCTCATCATCGAGAGACCTTTTTTCTTTTTTCATTTCAATTTATTCAATATTCTTCTAGTCACGTCCGCCTTTTTTATTACATGTCTGAAAGTATCTCACACCTTTCTATATACACGAAAAGAAAAAGGTTGATGATGATCAACTTATTCATAGCTTAAAAGATCCCATATATACACTTATTTGAATTATTCAAGTGAAAACAAGAAATATGAAGTACACTTTACACCTTATGTACACATATTAACAATCAACAATTTGTATTTTTTTTTTTCTTCCATTGTTTAATGTACACACACACATACATATATATATACAAATGTAAGATAAATGAATGAAACAATCAACAGATGGATAATGGCGATCTATCATTCACTCACCATATTTTAAGTGTCTGATGATTAGCCATATTTGTCTTAAGAATATAGTAGAATTTCAATAAGTCTGAAAAAAGATGAATTATATGATATTTAATATGAACTTTTTTCCTTGTATATAAAAGAATTGAAAATAATGTATTTTTCTGAATTATTGTATGTAAAATGAAGAAGAATGTGTAAAAAGAAAAGACAATGACAATTAAGAAATTCTTAGTTCATTCGATTTTTTTTGTTTTAGTCTTAATTTTGTGAGTTATCTGTCATCGAGGAATGATGTTTGTCACCTTCAACGGCTTCAGTTTTTGCTGTTTCAGCATGAGGATTGTCAGTATCCTTCTGAATTGTTGCTGGTTGAGTCTGATCATTATTCGTTCTATTTTGTTCATCGTGATGTTCGCCAGTTGTTTCTTCCATTGATTTTTGTTCAGAATCATTATTTGTTGTCGTTTGTTCTTGATCCGAATTCATACTAGTCATAACTTGACTAAAAGTCGAAGAGAAAAAATTGAAATAGTTTATTTCAATATTCAAAATTAGTGAATACAATCAAATGAAAATATGATTAGTAATATTTACATTTTTTAGATAAAATTACCTTAGTATAAAGGACTAGGCTGCATTAGAGACAAAATTGAATCACTAGTATCTTTTTTTTTTTGGCTAACTCCATTGAATCATATATCAACGGAAAGGGTATAGATTCTATGTACTAGTAGACACTATTGACAAATGTACTGTATCTATGAATGAGTCTTATCTTTGAAGAAATATCTTAATGAAAAAAAATTGAAATAACCAAAATTTGGATATTGTCCTATTTGAAGGACATTTTTAAAAACTACAAAATCATATATTTTCTAAAGTATTCCATAGCATAGTCTTCTCCAGATGCAGTTTTGCATCTTTTTTTTTAATCAATATTTATAAGATTTCGATGAGAAGAAGTTTTGTTTGAGTCAAAACTAATGTTAAATTTAGAACAAGAATTAAAATTTGATTTGGTCTATGTATGATTTAAAGGTTTTCTGGAATTGTTTTTTTTGGGGTCAAAAAATTCATTGCCTGGGTGCCAATCAGGAACAAGATGACGAATAAACTCAATAAAAATCTTGTTGTTATCTTCTAGATATCTGCCACTTTGCCATCTTTTCTTGACTTTGAACGGAATATGATTTTGTATCTTTTTAAAACATCTATCAAACAAGCAATCCTAAAGTGTTGATCATTTCAATTTTTTCATTGACGTATTTCTTCAAATATATAACTCATTTATAAATACAGTATATATATTTTAATGATCTCTACTAGTACATCAGACTTATATCTCGTTAAACTAACCGATCACTGGTTACTTTATATATCGAGTTAGGGGACGGCATGCGTTATTAGAATCATCACTAAAAAATGTATTACTTTATTGATAGTTTTTAGTTTTAAAAATTCTACCGAAACCTCATGAAATTAGTACTAAAACCTTATTCTCGATATACTCTTTCTATATTTTTAGTTAATAACGTGATCATGATTGATATATGCAGAAAAAAAAATACTTGTAGAGTGTAAAGAAGACAATTCTAGAAATTCTATAGTTCTCATTACATACGTTTGTTGAGTTTCTAATGGATGTGCTTCATTGGTTGCATTATCATCTTGTTCCATAAGATCAGTTTGTTGAGTATCAGACATATCATGAGGAACGGACGGTAATCTGTCAAGTAAAGTTGTAACATCATCTTCTGGTGTTTTTTCTTTTGTATCTTGTGTTGAAAAATCTCTAACGGCTGGATTAAATTTAGTTGGTGATTGTGGCTCATCATCATTGCTACTTGTTTTTGTCTTAGTTTGTGTTTCGTCATTAGCAGTCGATGATTTTAATAAATTTACAGTTTCTATTTTTTCAATGTCAAAAGGAGTGAATTGTAATTCTTCCACTTTTCGTACCCATGCATCATAAATATCATCGTCCCAAAGTACAAATACAATCACAGGTACTATACCAGCTTCTTTATTAACTGTTTGAAGTGCAATCTCAGCACCTTGATTTGCTGGCTATGAAATATAACATTATTCATAGTCATATAATAAGAAGAATTGTACTTACATAGCCAAATATACCACAACTAATAGCAGTAAAACCAATTGATTCAAGATCATACAAATTAGCTAAGGCAAGTGCTGTTTTGTAACATGAAAGCAATTCATCGGCACATTCTTTTGCTCTGTATCGATTGTAGATAGGACCAGCAGTATTAATAATATAATAAGTTGTTGATGACATATTATAGCTAAGTAAAATACGAGAATGACCAGTTGGTAAACGAACACCATGATAGAGTTGTTTATGAGCTCGACATGCTGTATAAAGTTCAGATCCAGCAGCTCGATGAATAATTCCATCAACTCCTCCACCACCTGTCATATGTTCATTAGCAGCTATTATAAATAAAATAACATGAAAATAATTCTTCTCAATATTACTAACAAACCATTGACAATAGCATCGACTTTCGTTTTTGTAATATCACCTTGTAAGATAATCAATATTGATTTATTTTCATTAATAAAATAGTAACGAGGACAGCGACGTTTCGAACTTTTTCCATAACCATATTTGTTCATCAAATTTTCTTGATTTCTGAATACAGAAACAATATTTTTATTCATATACTTCTTATTTGTTTGGTTTGTTTTAATTTACTCCTTTAAATATGTTAAAAGATCGAAATCTTCATCTGATGAACGATCTTCTTGTCTAACAATTGACTTTTGACTATTTTGTTGATTAAACCTGAAAAAGAAAATCAAATTTGTTTTTAGATTTTTGCTAAGATAAATTCTTACGTTAGTAAAGATCTGCCAGAGAATATATAGCGTACAATAAATGTGAAAAAAGATGAAATCGAATTGAAAATATTACGTCCGGAAAGTAGGACAAGCAAAGGAATGTTCTGAAACCTAGGTATAACTCATAATTATGATTATTTTACTATTATAATTTAAAGATATTAGTCGTTTTTATTATTCTATTGAAATCCTTATTAATGAAGAATCTAAAAAACTTTTTGTCAATAACTGAAAATGTTTGATAACTTTGCTATCCAGTCTTTTGAACCGACCATAAATTCATATTTACCTATTGTCTTGTTGTTGTGTTGAAGTTGGTGTTCTAATTTGATTCTCTTTCGATTGCATTTTCGACATATTTTTATTTTTTGTAAATCTACAATTATAAATAATAAAAAATATTATGTGAAAAAACAAACAAACTAATCAATAAGAATTATCATTAGAATATGGTAAATAAACGTGTCATGTTAAAAAAACACATGAACGTTTCACTGATATTGATTTCGACTAGCTTCAGATTTCTGTAATTTCACAACTTATTACAATCCATAATAACTTGGATTTTACTTATTTGTTTTTTCTTTATTCATATTTAAAAGTTTTCTATGAAGAAGAATTAAATATTAAAATATAACTGACATAGAGTTACAATCGAAAAAACAAAACCTCATTAACATCAACTTTGCTTTCGCTTAATTGAACGCATATTTCAAAACCAAATGGAATGTATTTTGCTTGAAATGACCTTCATTTTTAACATCAACATCTGAACAAGCATCATGCATGACAATCTGAAATTCAAGACAAATGTGAAAATTTATACATAATCATAAATTGATTTTGTTATCCAGTTCGAATAATTAACAGTATAGTACTACACAAATAAATATATAAAAGTCGTCCTTGATAATACCATATGTCGATTCCTTTCTAACAAAACTAAACATTTTCATATAAATTCAAGCTTTCAATTCGATTAAATTACTGTAATGTGTATTACTAGATGTTTTTAGGAATGAACTTCTACTAATTTAATAAATATGAGTTTAGTCCACATTTTCTAAAAAGAAAGTAAAATTAAACTATAACTAATTGAATGTCATAAATAATTTTTCTCATGTACACTAATAGAAGGCTGCATCAAATTTTTATGTCAAGTCAGTGGCGTAGCCAGAAATTTTTCAAGGGAAGTGCCGACTCATTATGGGATGTGCACAGCAGCAGCAAAATAAATTTTTATTTCTCAAAAAGGATATTTTATCTGTACTCTCCTCTAGGCATTTTTTGGCCAAGGAGGGCGCCCGGGCACCCTGTGCACACTCTCCGGCTACGCCCCTGTGTCAAGTTAGTTATCACATTGTTGCAAATTATCGGATAGATTTATTTGATTTATCAAATAATATATACTTAAAAAAGAGAAGTTTGATATTTTAGATTGAAAAATTGATTTAATAGACATTAAATCTGACACAATTTTAAACAGATAGTAGTCTCTAGTAAAGTGAAGTGTTCAAAGAAATTTTTTTAGTTTTTTCTAAAAAGAAGCGAACAGTATCATGTTTTTTTAATTTTTATGAAGTAAATAAGGAAAAGAATACTTCAGCAACGTAAATAGATACAGAAAAGAATGGTAGTTCGGAAGAACGAACGGATAAAAAGTTTATTAGTACGTATTGAAATTGATGATAGATGTCGAGAAGTATCGAGAAAAATCATTTACTTGCAAATGAAGTGATTTTTAAGATTTGTTTGAGAAAACTTGAACAATAATCGATCAAGCCACTTTCTCTGGTAATCTATGTTAGATTATGAGCTGATGTTTCAACTTGTCAATGCAGTCCTAAACAAAGTTGCCTACTGACTACTTTTTTACTGCCCGACATGGAAGAAAAACAGACGAGGTCAAATTCAAATTGTCGACCGATGTATAAGCTGCCCTGCCTAGAGACATATGCTAAAGCAAAAAAAGGTCAATCGATTGAATTACTTAACTCATATTCGTGTCATCTAAAAAGAAGCGAAACTGTATTTATCATCGATCTTCTTTATTTTCTTCCAATTAATTGTTTTTTTTAGGTTGTAATGCATTTTACAGTTACTTTAATTATTTTGCTTTTAAAGTACTATGAAATAAAACTTAGCTTATAGCAACATGTAATGTACGAAATAGATTACGACGATATGAATTTCAAGTAGACTCGGATATTAGTGTAGGTCAACAGAAAAAAATCCTACCTGATCTGATAGCAGTTCAATGTGATGAAAGAGTATTTTGCAAGTATTCCTGGAACCAAAGATATACTTGAATTTATTGTGAATATTATGGAAATTATTGAGAAGAAGTAAAGATATGAGAAATTCAAAAATCCAATGGAATTTCTTTTTTGTAATGTTTTATAGTAGTTAGATAGAGTTTTATAAAAAATACTTAACAAACTCAAGAAGAGACCATTGTACATTTATTTTTTATAGAGAAAGTTTATTTCAGTTTTTTCAAATGGAATTCTTTCTTTCTGAATATTTGTTTTCTTTTGAAAACTTGAAAAAGAAATTATACATTGTTCAAATATAGTACAATAAAAACCAAGTTACATGTAGAAACACGCTTTTTTCCAACGAATGCATTTATTATTCTTGTTACGAGACCATGAAGAAAGTGATACATTCTTTTTTTTTTAAATCTCTGTACTGTTATCGAGAAAATGTATTCTTTCTGTAATCGTAGCAAAATGGAATCGTCTTATACAGTTTTTATCGTTGAAAAATGATTGTTTTTTTTGAAAAATATATATTATATTATGAACTAGCACATACAAACACAGTGAAAACCCTGTATCTTATCATATAATGTTTTGCACCGAAATTTTAACTTTCTTTGTCTTCGACTTTCAATACTCAATATAACGTGGCAGTTCCCGATGACTAAAATTTTGGTGCAAATTATTCTATGATAACATATAGGATTTTCATGGAACTTTTGACTACTGATTTCGACTATGACAAGTGTTTGTCATAAGAAAATTATCGATAGCAGTAAAATAGTTTTCGAAAAGAATGCATCATTCTTTTTCTTGCTTCAAAATGATTACTATTGCACAACAAAAAAATATCCAATGCATAACACTCTGAAAGTTTTGCAGAGTTATCAATTCGTTTTATTATCATTTTATATTCGAATACTTTTAAATCCATATTGATAGATTCCATTTTGTATGTTACATGTTCCATTCACTCTTTCAAGCTTTCAAAACAAAATTTATATACAAACAAAATTAGTTTATAAATTTTATTTAAACAAAAAACGTTTGTAAGATTTTTAACCTATTTATTTTTGTAAACTGCTATTGAATCATTTTTACAATATCAAAGAAAAAATTCCATTGAACTTTTCAATTACTGAAACTTGATTGAACTCGAAAAACAATATAATCGAATATGTAAATCTATTTGAAAATTTTTACATTTATATATTTTTACAACAACAAGAACGAACAATACAACATGTTTAAACATTTACAAGAAAGAATTATTTAAAATATCCATTAGTTATTATAGACTTGTACAGATACAAAATTTATTCTATTGGTTGACGATTGTAGAATCGATTTAATTGTTGTCTAGTATTCAATCTTGCCGATGCTACTTTCGTTGTTCTCTTGTTTTGATCACGTTTGAATGAACGTAAAATTAATAATTTACATTCTTGACGAAATGGTTTTGAAGCCAACAACTGAATATAAAATATTGAACATGAGTTAATATATATTAAAAATTTAAGTGCTAAATAACGCATAAAACTTTCAATAGCTAAACGATTTGTTGTTTTTGAAATATCTGATGTAATAGCCAAATAAATTGAATATATTGGAAACGATACTGTGGATATATAATAGACAATTACTTCACTTATTACAATAGTCATCAATTGAATATCTCGTTTTTGTACTCTTGTTGGTCGATTTATATTTTCATTAGTATTTATTGTAGTCGCCTGAATTCGAACAAAAGTTAGTTGAACATTTCGAACAGCCAAAAATGAATATATAATCATTATAACAAGTGGTATCGATGTGACAATTGCTGCATAAATACTATAGATAATTAAATATGTACTTGAACCACCACATCGTCGATTAGGTATTTGAATATCAACATAAACTAGAACATGAATGGGTACAATTAACCATAGAATACATGCCATAATCACTAATAAAATACTTATATGACGTTGATTTAAACGACGAATATTAGCATTAGGTGAACATAAAGCAAATCGATCAATACAAGCTAGTGCAACACTTGAACGAGATATCATTAAAAAAACATGTATTATATATGATTTAGCTTTACAAAATGTTGATGAATATAAAGCTATATCATAGTTTTGATAAGAAGCTAGAAGTTCTGGAATAATACCACATAGAATAACCAATAAATTAAAAATAGATGTTGTTATAAAATGAACTGAACATGAATTTGAACGAAATTTCTTTTGACAAAAAATCATAAGATTAAACAAACAACCAATAATACCCAAAATCATACATATTGCTAAGATACAACGAGTAAGAATAACTTCTGTCAAATCAAGACTTTCGATGAGCATCATGAATATTTTTGATTTAATGAAGATATTTATTTATTTTTCTGAAATTGATAGAAAGAAAAATTTCGATTGAAAGATATCTAATAACATAGAATGGAATACTGACAAGGAAACCACTCGAAATGATTTACTGCATTAATAATTCTCATATTTGATTCACAAGCGGAAAAATCCTAAGAAAATATAGGTCTTTGTTACGATAGGACCGAGGTATAGAAATGTTACTGAAATTCTTCTATATGCTCCTGATGTTTTAGCAAAATCATACTTTTGAATTCTAATCTAAAGTTTTATGGAAACCAAAATCTCAACGAGACTAACTCGCAAACAAAATTTCAGAACTTTTCAAGCTAACATTATCAATGTATCAATCAGGTGTGCAGAATCTACCGGTAAAATAAAAAATTTCCCCCGCTAAAAAATTCAATTAAAAAACGAGTTTTCTTGTTGAAGATGTTTATTCCAAAAAAAAAACAACAACCACAATTTAACACATTGCAAATTCATATTTAAAAAATGCTACTATTCAATATCGTTTGGTTCAGATTTTTTGTAAACAATTTAAACTAACTGAACTAGGAGAAACAAGTTTCCAAGCTTTGCATTCTTCACTGTTTTAATAAAATAATCATTATCTATCTTTCATTAGGCTAAAATAATCATAGAGTGAATTTGTAATAAGTATTAATTTATACCGACATCAACTATAAAATGACACTCTAGTCATCCCGGAATCAAACTTCCACCTATCGTGTACTCCTAATTTGGTGGAACTAGGGCTACCCGAATCGAACCATTTTTCAAAAATGAAGTCGACCAGAGCCAATCCCGAATTATTTTTTCAATTGTAAATCCGAATTGAAATGAATTCCAACCAACAAAAAATAGTTCGATTCGGTCGCTGATGACCATATATTAGTTATCCTTGTGGTTGTGTACGCATACGCAGACACAATAGCAACTATATATAGCAAGAGAGAAAAAAAGCAAGTAGTGGCATTCTATCAGGAAGAAGTATAGAAAGACAACAAGAGAACACAAATAGTGCGTGTTGTGTGAAGAATAAGAACAAAGAGACAAAGTGAAAGAAATACCAAGATACATGATGAATGTAAACAAAGGTAGACGATGCTGACACTACGATAGAGACACGGATAAGTCATTCAGAAGTGTATTAGAAAGCAAAACAATAAGAAAAGTAAAAGGTCTTGTCGATGTATGTATGAATAATCTGGAAGTCGTTTAGAAAATTCAAAAATTTTTCCTATGAGAGAAAACATTTGTTAAAAATTTTTCTCAGATACTATTAAATTTTCAAAAATTTCCCCGAACAGCCGTTCGCGCACACAGGTAGGTTCTGCACGTCTGCTCAATGAGTGTCATTAATTTGAGGTCATAATTTTATTGTCAATGTATTCATTCATAATACTGACATTCAATAGGAGTCATCGTATGTTTGTATTGTCACTATCTTCCAATGTTAATATCTATGAAAATCTTTACTGCTTCATGCTTACTTTTATTGTTCTAGAGAAAATTTCATTGCTATTCTCTCTCAGCAATTGTACACAGTCATTGTAGGTTAAAATTTATTTTTGTATGCTGATCAATGAGCATTGCGATATATTGAGATTTTCGAAATTACTCACAACTAATTCCTCTACTCTTCTGCGAGTTTCTAAAATATCTTATATGATTTCCTTAGAATCTTTTTCTTATGAATCAGTAACTACTCAAGCTTCGTAAAGAATGACCTGCTCATGTATTAGTAAATTAATTTTGGAAGTTTCAACATTGCTATGATCATTAATAAATACATTTTCTTTTTAACTCTCTTGGTTTATTTTATTAATAGATTCAGCTGTTTGCTGTAAAAAAAATCAACTACATTAATGTTTAGATAGAAGTTGGTCTAAACACATTCAAACTTATGCTTCAATAAATAGAAATGTCTAAGTGCAGTTAAAAGTAACTAGTTATTCTGTAAACATATCAATCATGCGACTTCTTCAACTGTCTTACAAATCGATCTTGGTCCAGGAAAATTCTATAAACATCACTTTTTTTGTTATTTGTTTGGAGGAATATATCAGGATACAGAGCATGACAAGTCTAATTTTTTAAAAATCTTTACTGTTTAAGTTGAGAACAGAGATAAGAAGTTTAATGCCTCAAAAATCTCTCAACAAATGGCGTTCTAATTTTAAATATACTCGTTAATATAATAGTAATAAAGCTTATTTAGAAAAACGGACTTTGTCATTCTCTTCATTTTGACATACTTCTTAAAACAAGAAAACAAGCCGTTCCCTACGATGAAGTTCTTTTGAGGATTCTGAGACGTACGATGAAAAAAAAGCATATTTTTCAAGCAGAAAACAACAGAATTTTTGGGAAATAACGAAATATCAAATAAAAACTTATGATATCTATGAAAGATAAAGGCTCTGGCTATCTTTTCATGCATTTATATCCATTGTCTTGAGAGATTACCTTAACGTCTCAATAATTAAAGTTCGAAATCATTAACATATAAGTGAATAAATTCTCTTCAAAATTTCAGTATATAAAGTCTTCAATTTTTCAATTATTGGAATGAAATAAAACTATAATGAAGTAATATTAATGAAGCTTTAACTTAAAATTTAGATCAACTGAAATCTATTTGTAAAGATAAAACCTTTGATTTTGACCTAACCTTCTAGGACATTTTAACTGGAAAAAAATGTTCGCATAAAAATATAAATATCTTAGCAAATGAAAAGAATGTTTAAGTGACTAAAACTCATTGAAATTAAATTACTATATATCACACCAGAGAGACATGTCAATAATTCCCTTTGATGCTAGAAGAACTCATTAAAAGAAACAGAAAAAAAATACTTACCACTGTGTTCTATTCAAGTCGAAGCTATCATTACTTCTCTATTATATAAAACATAAAAAGATAAAGTTAGTTGAATAACAACATAAGTTAAATCCATAAAATACAAATCTCTTTTCTTTATAGAAAGAAAAGATAAAGCGTACCAGAGAAAATGTAGGCGTTAAACTGTAGTCTACTGCAATCAATTTTACTAATAGACTATTTATATCATACAGGGTGTCCCATAAGTAACAAGACAAGGAAAAAAAGTTTGAATATCTCCATTAGGGCTCGACCAAATGGGCTCAATTTTTTATCAAGGATAGAGGCATCTGCACACTCCAAATCCATACGAACAAGGTGAATGAGAACCTTTGTTAAGTATCACTATTGACCTCAACAATAAAATTTTTACTTTTTCACAGACAGGAAAATAAAAAATATACTTAACAAAGGTCCTCACTAAGCTTGTCTGTATGGATTTGAAGTATAAGCATGCCTCTATTTTTGGTAAAAAAATCAGCTCGATTGCTCGAGCCGTAATGGAAATATTTAATTTTCTTTTCGATAAAGTGACTTTTGCACTATCCTGTATATTGGTTTTTTCTTACCAGTGACAAAGCAAAAATTTTATTGTTGAGGTCACTAGCGATACTTAACAAAGGTTCTCATTCACCTTGTTCGTATGGATTTGGAGTGTGCAGATGCCTCTATCCTTGATAAAAAATTGAGCCCATTTGGTCGAGCCCTAATGGAGATATTCAAACTTTTTTTCCTTGTCTTCTTACTTATGGGACACCCTGTATAAACGAAAAGTTATGTCAAGTAAAATTCTACTTTAGTTTTTTGTTCCAAAGATTAAACAACTATTTTCAAGAAAGATAGCCAGTACATATCATATGCAGCGATAAAAATTTATTTAATCGAAAGAAAAAAGAAATGACCTAGACACATTCATTTACCAACTTGAAAGTTTTTACTTCATTTACAACAAAGAAATAGTAGTTATTTTAAGAAAAACTTCATCAAGTAATAGAGTAGAAAATATTTTGTAATTAAAAAAAGGTTAATTTTAATTTTCTAATAATCAACAATACAATTTATGTAAATGAAATTTCAAACTTGATTATCTAACAAGAAATTTAATATCTTGGAAGACATAAAACACTTCGATTTTATCTCTTCATTTTTTTTCTAAATCATGTATACAATGATTTTTTGTTTTGAGTTAAACAAGATTGATAGACAAGTAAAAAGAATAGAAGATTAATTTTAGTTCTCAATAAGATCTTGAAATTTTTTTCGATACTTTGTACTCTAGCAAAAGTTCCTTTGACTTTTTTTCAACGATATTTTTCGTAATACTGAGTGGCACAGTAAACTTGACTTCCGATGAAGCAAGCAAACTCGATTATAAGAACTTTCTCTTCAAAACTTCTACACTGAACAAGACATTTATTGTAAATTCAATGATATATACTATTTATCTATTCTAACTTCATATGGATCTTCTTTCTAAAAGCTGTTAGCGCAATTTCTGTGAGATTAAACTATGAAAAACAATGTAATTGCTATTGCTAATCAGAAGAAGATCGTTTATACTTAATTGTTCGAAAATACAATAAGTATTTCATATACATGTATATGATAGCGCAATATTATTGATATACGGTGTACGATCGTATATCTAAGCCTGTCACGATCAGTGACACGGAAAAGGTGAGCATCCAAACTTTTACATCTACATTTCAACATTCCGTTCAGGTCGTATCATAAAGCTATGCTACTATTATAGTTATTCTATAATGACTATCAAACCTATAATATTCATAAATTCTTACTTACCTTAAATTTATTTTCTTTTTTTACAAAAGAATACGATATATATGCATAGAAAAGTATATCTCTTTCTTTTATATAAAAGAATTAAATCTGACAGTCTCTTTTGTTTCATGAATAAATAAATATGAAACATATCCTCAATTTTTTATTTCATTTGAGAATAATCATTGTCATTGTGTCGAACGGAACTATAGCTGTTAGAATTCATTAACTTAACAAGTATTCGTATTGTATATTCGCTTAAGATTGAAAATATAAAAATGCTATTGTCCTCACAACATCCTACTTAATTCTTTTCTTCTTGTTTTTAGAGGATTCTTTATAGAAAATTGCGATTCTAATATTTTTCTTTTAAGATATTAATATAGATTACACATTTGCATTATTTTTTGATACTTTTGAAAGCTTTAGATTCATTAATTGTAGGTGTATTCATCTTTGTCTTTTATAATATCTAAGCTACTCTATAAGAACTAGTCATTTTTAGTAAGAGAAACATCATAATCTACGATCAACAACATTAACAGAAGAAATATAATTATGAAGTAAAAATTACTGCACAATATTCAAAATTCTGAATACAAAAACATGAATAAATATTTTATGTTTAGAGAGAATAATACAATAAAAACTTTTGATTCTATTCATGTAGATCTCAAATTAAATATAATTCTATTTTACATATTTTAGTTCAAATAAAATGTTATAAAAAATGTAGATGTCATGTTGAAAAGCAGTACGAGTTTTTTTTCAAATCACCAAAATAAGATATGCATACAATATGTTTTCGTTATTTTTATCTAATTGCAAGTACATAACCTTATTTTCATAAATGTTTTTATATTCATTAATGCAAAAAATAAAATTATCTATTTTGTAACTTTCTTTGTATACACCATTTTTTTTTTGTTGTCATCGAAAAATCAATACAATGATTTTCATCTGTATTGCTTAATGATAAGTAATTAAAATAGAAAATTGTTAAATCAGCTACGAACGAATTATTTATTTAGACATAGAAGAAGAAAAAAAAACGTAACATTATTTGTCATAGAAGTAAAATATTGATACTCAATAAAATACATCATATTTCAATTCTTATATGTTTTTATATATTTAAGATGAGAAGAATTTGATTGAAAAGGAGAAAACATAAGATTCCAAAAAGAAGTTTTGAATTCAAGTATTAATGCATTTACCATTATGCGAAAAACAAATTGGTTGCCATTCTAAATAGATCAAATCAAATTAGAAATAAAAAAAAAACATTAACAAATTTTCATTTAAAATATTTACTTCGATAATATCTATCCCTAAAATATACAAATAATAGTTTTTATTTTTCTGTAAACAATAATTCAAACAAAGAAACTCACCATCCCCAAAGACGACCACCATACCAATGAACAAACCAACGACTAGGCAAACGATAAGGCCAACCACCATTTCCAACACTAGGCCAACCGTTTTGATTAGCTACACCTATAGATGAAATAAAAATTTTTACTTATGTTAAAATGAACCTAATTTTTGTTTTGTACCTTGGTTGGCAATTGCGAAAGTAATCAAGGCCAAAAATACCATAATTAATGCTGTGCGTTTCATCATAATTAAGATAATATTATTATAACTTGTTAGGATAGAATAAATGTATGCCTATATCGACTGTTTAGGTTATAGTTTTTCTTAAGAATATAACAGGAAAACAATCTTTTATATATAGCTGACGAGAGAAAAAAGAGAAAAATACGTCCAATTGATATGATCTGTTAACAAAAGAGCGAATACAATAGAATAAAAACAAATGAAAACATGTTCCTTTGATTTTATAAATAGTCACATAATATCAAAAGAAAATTCGAGAATATATTTTTTTGTACGATTTGATTTTCTAGTTGTAGTACGTCTAACTATTTCGTTCTATTTTAAAAGAATAAAATCAATATACGTCTGCTTGTAAACAAATTCATTGAATTATTTGTCTACAAAAGAAGAAGAATGATAGAATATGTTTATTCTTTGTGTTTACTTGAAAATAATGATAAAATAAAAATATATATCATAGATTTTAGTCATACATTGTTAAAATTGTCTATCTAATCTAATATCGGCGCCAGAAGTCAGGGCAGTCGGATGTTTTTTGCATAACTTTCGATAGGAACAAGTTAGAGACCTGCGATTTTCAGCAATCGATAGAAGATTATAGGGAACATATTTTTATATAAAAACCAAGGTTTAAATAATCAGGCACAATAGGAGTAATTTTTGAATCACTGAAAGAATAGGCTCGTTATTTGATAAAATCTCAGCAGAACAAGCTTAAACTTTCAGCATATATAGTTCCACTGTAGTCCAATCTTTCCTAAAAATATTATTGATAAATCTTGTAATGACGAGGAATGGTATGTCAATCATCATCTGGTCTTACATAAAGCTCTCATTCACTCAATATATTAGAAAATGACCTCAACTTTTGACTGAATAAGTATCATGATCTAGACTTCATATCTATGCAATTATATCATAGTTTGATTATATGAACGAGAAGAGACGGTGAAAACATTACTAAGTTCTGCATTTCTCTTGATAAAGTTGGGAAAATTTGTTTTAAAATACTTACTGTATGGCAATCATTTCTTCGTCGAATTTTGGCTATTTCCCTTCATTTCTACGACCAAACTACGATGTTATTGCATAGATATGAAGTCTAGATCATGATACTTATTCAGTCAAAAGTTGAGGTCATTTTCTAATATATTGAGTGAATAAGAGCCTTATGTAAGACCAGATGATGATTGGCATACCATTCCTCGTCATTACAAAATTTATCAATGATATTTTTAGGAAAGATTGGACTACAGTGGGACTATATATGCTGAAAGTTTCAGCTTGTTCTGCTGAGATTTTATCAAATAACGAGCCTATTCTTTCAGTGATTCAAAAATTACTCCTATTGTGCCTGATTATTTAAACCTTGGCTTTTATATAAAAATATGTTCTCTATAATCTTCTATCGATTGCTGAAAACCGCAGGTCTCTAACTTGTTCCTATCGAAAGTTATTTAAAAAACATCCGACTGCCCTGACTTCTGGCGCCGATATTAGTTTTTCTGTATTCAGAACAAATAATCATGGTCAGTAGTAAGAAAAAATGGATGGTATAATATAATCAATTCATTGATTTGAATATCGAAACATTCAATATAGCATCTTTTATGTTTTATTGGTCCATTCAGACAAATACTTGCATTTCAATGTTGAACTCTCTATTCTTTGATGAAAAATCAACAGTATGATTTTAAAGTTTTACATTTTGATAAATCAAAATTACTAATAATTATCTCCTGATATAATACTTATCAGAGAACCTTACGAAACCGTTTCTTCATTCTACCGAAGATTATTATTGAGGTATCCTATGTTGAAGGACAATCTTATCATATGTTTTTCATCAGATATGAACAAATCAATAATACAACAAAGATACATTTACAAATTTCAAAATGTATGAAGTTTTCTTTTCTTTTTTGTTGCTTCTACTTGAATTTCTTTTGTAAAAGCATATAATCGTTCCAACGAAGCAATAGTCATTGGTATGACATTATACTCTTCTGACTACTACTTATAATAATGAAAAATTACTGCAAATTGCACGACTAGACCAAAACTTCATTAGATCACAATCTTTGATAATGGTATCTTTTGATTTAGATAAACTAAAAGTTGAATATTATTTCCGTTCAACAAAAATAAATTATATGTTTCTTTGGGTGTTTTCTATAAAGAAATACGAATAGTTTCTTCAACAGTTTGCATGCATATAGAATGAGCTTTTTTATTATTTTGTATAATTGTTTTTTTCTAGGATTTATTTCATATAAACTTATTTAATTCAATATAATTGTGTAAATCATTGTTATACACATATTGTATTAATAACAGTGTTGAACGACTTTCATAAGAGATATTCTGTGATTATCTGATATACTTCTGTTTGCTATATTGTATGAGCTTGTAAGATAGATCCTAAATTAATATTTATTTCATTAGTTATGATTAAAATTTTATTTTAGAAACATTGATCAATGAAATTGAAATTTTTGAAATATTCTATAGCTTTTAATCGATCATCGTCATTAGTTAAACTTTGAATTAAAGATTAGATCACAAATTTGATGTTCTATTTTTCAGACAAATGATGAAGTTACTCATTGAGAAGATGATAATCCATTATTAGATTGTGAATAATACTGAAACTTCATTGTTTAAATACAGTAATTAAGAACTTTAATAGGTTCAAAATTTATTATGGATGAATCATTGTTATTCTCTCATTCATTTTTCTCTTTTTTGTTTTTTAATAATAAATCGAATGTATACAGTTTATTTTCATGTATTACTAATATCAACTTTTTATTGACGTTTTCTGAGTAATACTAATGAAAAATAATCAAAAATTTATCCTTTTAATGTACTTTATAAATATCAAAGAATATAAAAATATTAGAAGTATATTAGGACATTTGTAATCTGTTCAATAAAGTATTTGATATCAACAATGATGAGTTCTTTTCAAAACTTGTGTCGATTACATGTGATAAGATGACTTTTGTAGTATTTGTAAAACTTCATTCAATGTGAGTATATACTTTTAAGCGATGTAAAGAATCTGTTCGATGAACTCTTCTTTTTCTACAATACAATTTCGTTTGTTAGATCACGTATAATACATAATATCATATGAATGTTCTTTTTTGATTGAAGTATTATCAAATGGCAAATATTTCCTGCTGTTTTAGTTTAAAAATTCAAATCATGATATTATTTTATTTGTTAATAAAGAGAAAAATTATCAAAAATTTAATTTAAATCTCGACAAAACATTTTCCATCAAAATCTAAATAAAGTTTTTTTGATAAATATTACATTAGATTATCAGATTAGATTGTAGAGTTCGACAGTTCTCAAAATATCATGTGAAATCATTACTGTTAACTCATCAGATAGATATAAACATTTTTATTATATTTTTGACAAATTTCTACTATTGAATTATTCGAATTAATGAAGATTCTTTTTATATAAAGTTGAGAATTTTTCTATCTATCTAACAGTGTAATGACTCCTGTATGAAGAAATTTTGAAAAATCAGTTCCAGTTTGGGAAAACCCATAGACTCTAATTGTCATGATGAAAGCACTAAACAAATTCATGAAATTAAGAAAAAAAAATATTCAATTCAGAATACAACTTTATTTCCAATTGGTTCATCTTTGACTAGAACATATTCTCAAAGTAAATAACTGTAATATTCTTTGATCATCATTATCATCTTTTCAAAATAACTCTCCCATCCTAACACTCGTTTTCGTCTCTTTGAAAAAATAAAAAGAAAAAAAATATTGTAAATCAACTTGTTTATTTGTTACACATCTTCGTTATATTTTTTTTTCTCTAATAAAATAAAAAAAAAAAACTCGTTAAATGTTTATTATTATCATCATGAAATGATGACATTGGCTTATCGTCACAATGATCACTAAAGAGAGAAAAAAAAATATATTCGTTTTTCAAGTGTGAATTTATTCGAAAAGAGTTCATCGGCATCACTTTTCTAAATCAACCGTATCACAATATATTATACATATAAATATAAGCACCAGTTCCCGACTTATGAAAATATACATTTCCGTATCTAAACGAGAAGTTTGCTGGCTTTTTTTTTGATCTTTTTCGTTGATAAATAGCGATGAAACACATTTTCTAAATAATATTAGTTGCATTTGAAATGAAATTTCTATAACAGTAAGTGGAAATATTTTTTATCTTGTTTCTGTTGTTGTTGTTGTTCGATAGATATCAGTTGACAAAATATTTCCATCATTTGATCAATAAAAACTACCAAATGCCATGTTGTTCTTTTTTTTGTGTTTGTTTTCTTTGATCTTTGTCCATCACCAGATGAGCTTAGGTGTATTAATTAGTCTTGTTTTTTTCAACTGTTTTGATGTTCTTCTGTTGATTATTATTGTCTTCTAAATTATGATTGGTGAAGAAAATTAATAGAAATTTTTTTCTCTACTATGAATAGAGATGTTCTATATCCCAACTGCTATCATTCGTTTCGACGTTATTACAGAACATTCATCGTTTCCATATTATTAAAAAAAAAAAAAAAGGTTAAGTAATTTGAATTAATTTTTGTTCAGTTTTTTCTTTCGCTTAGTATATTATTTCTAGGATTTAAATATGGATCCATATTATTCTCCTCCAACATCATATTATTATCAATCAACATGTCCTTTACATGATACATCTTCATCATATTTATCTGATACTTATGTTGATCCTTATTCATCATATCCATGTCAATCAACATCATATTATTATCCAATGTGTAATGATCATACAACATCACCAATGGGATTTTATAATAATTCAACAACAAATATTTGTGCTCAACCAACGTATTCAAGACCACAAACAAATGTACAAGTTTCACCAACAAATATTCCAGTTCATCATCCAACACAATTATTGAATACAACTTTTGAATTAGGTAAGATTATTTGAAATGGAAGTTTTCTTTTTTTTTTTATGATTTTTGTTTTTAAGCTCCTCCAACAGGTCGACGACGTCGTCAACGAACTATCTTTTCAAAAGACCAAGTTGATATACTTGATCAAGTATTTGAAAAAAATCAATATCCCGATATACAACTTCGTGAACAACTTTCTGAACAGCTTGATGTTCCTGAAGCTCGTATTCAAGTATGATTGCTTTTAAGAAATTTTTTTTGAGATTTAGAATTTTTTTTTTTTTTTCAAGGTTTGGTTCAAAAATCGACGAAGCCGTGCTCGAACAACAAAAGCAACAAAATCATAATATTAAATATAAACTAGCCGTTGAATTTCATGCACGGACTTTTCTGTAAACTATTTTTTAGTTAATAAAATTTCTTGTATAATAATTTATTCCACAACTTATTAATTGTAACACTCGATTGAAGAGAAAGAAAGTATGAATGTGAATGAAGCAATCTATATATCCGATTGGAGGTAGATGAGAAAAAAGTCATGTGTCTTCATTTTGAAAGATAAGAAAAAAAAGGACAAGTTTTGTTTTTCGTTGTTGTATGGATTAATTTCTAATATTCAATAAGATGAATGACGAAGAAATTTTTAATCCTAATCAACAATTTCGTCCAATACGAAAAAGACGTTTTGCTGCATGTTGTTTTACATTCAGCCTGTTAATAACTCCTATTATATGTGCAGTTGTTATATATTTAACAAGCTATCAAGTTGCATCAGATTTGAAATATGATGCATTATGGTTTCCATCAACTGGTAGTGAATCATGCATTCGTCTAATCGATATTAATGGAGATGGACTTGATGATGTTATTGTTGCTTTAACTGAAGTAACAACAATCACAAATAATAAAAACCATGACAAGGACCGTGCATCATTTTGTAAATCAATAAATGTAGAAGAGCCCTGTAGTGGTACTGTATATGGTATACGTGGTTATGATTTTACTATACTATGGTCATTTCGAGTTAAAGGATCTATATTCGAAATGGTGTGTGATGCTATCGATATTAATAACGATGGTCGTCGAGATTGTATTGGTGCTGGACGACAAGGTACTTTAGTTGCATTTGATCCTCGTAGTGGTAAAGTATTTTGGCACAATAGTCAAACAAAATCAAAACATCCGTTATGGAATTTTTATAATCCTCTTATTCTTCCAATTGATATTGATCATGATAATACTAATGACTTTCTTATTTCACATGGTGGTAATCCAACAATACGAGCGGATATACATGAACGTGATGCTGGTTGTTTATTAATTATTTCAAGTCGTACTGGAAATCAAATAGGTGAACCATTTTGGATGCCAGATGGAAAAGAAACATATATGTCACCAGTTTTATATAGTAATTCGACAATACTTTTTGGTACAGGTGGTGAAACAATATCAGGTGGATTATATGCGATATCAATAGATAATATAATAAAACAAAACAATTATTATGTAACAATTTTTAAATCATTTGAAAAAGGTGTTATGGTACCACCGATTGTTCTTGATATTGATCAAGATGGAATTGATGATATACTTGTAAGTTGTTTTGATGGAACATTAGAATTAATTAATGGAAAAACAATGAAACCATTATGGACAAGAATTTTCTCTGGATATGAATTTTATGCTTCACCAGCACCAGGTGATTTTAATAGTGATTTATTTGTCGATTTTATGATCATACTTAATCATGGTAAAAAAATTTTATTATTGAACTACAAAAACAAAAAAGAAAATTATTTTTTTATTTAAACTCTTAGGTAAATGGGATCGATATGATTATAGTGAAGTATTAATTATTGATGGTTTGACAGGTGAAACCATTTGGACACAAAATAATACATTTGGAGAGTTTTCATCTCCATTAACTTTACAAATGATAAAAAATGGAAAATATCAAGATAGTTTTATTTATCGACAACGTGGTCAAACATTTGAAAAAATTCATTCAAATAAATCATCTATTTTATTTCATGGAATTGGACTTCAAGATGGAGAAATTTACAAGTAGATTATTTGAAATTATTTTTTTTTATTTGCTTTCTTGTTTTTTTATTTTTTGTATTGTTATTATTCTTTAGAGATGAAAATTTAATCTCATTGAATACAAAGTATTCTTGTGATCAATTTCCATTAAATGGTTCAATTGTGAATATATATTTAGCAAATATTGAAGAAACTCGTTTAATAGCTTTAATATATCCTCCTATGAATAAGGAGAATAATCTTTGTAGTGATTATGAACCTATGGAACGATCTGGAGGTGCTATTGGTGATCTTAATGGTGATGGTGTTTTCGATTTAATTGATATAACAACATTCATTACAAAATTAACATCACATAATTTAGAAAATTTTATTGCACATTCAATTTTAACAAGATTTTCATTGAATATAAACAAAATTGAACATCAAATAGTAGCAAGTTATGAAAAAGATATTTTTAATAAAACAATTAATCAAAATCTTATTAATTTACTAAAAGAAAAAATTTCATTTTCAACAAAATCTATTAATAATAAAAATTTATATATTATTTCAAAACAAACATGGAATAGTTATTTAGGTCGATTTTCAAATAGTCATTACTATCGAAATGTTTAATTATATTTATTATTATGACATTATATAGTTTTAATTTCTAATAATTATTGTCGAAGAATCGATTAATATTGTTGTTTTTTTAAGCTACTTGTATATATTCGATATTCGTTGTTGGTTTTTTTTGAAAATGAAAAGAAGAGTGCGGGTGTAGAAGGGAGTTCGATGATGTGAGTGCCGTGTATGTGTAGGTAGGGAGTGTTTGACGGGAAGAACTACACTCTTAGCTCACATTCACACTCACCCACATTCTCCTAGGTTCACATCCATATTCGCATCAAACTCATCCATATCCTTATTTGTTCAGTATTGAATTTTTTAAATATTCTAATAAAACTTTTATAGAATTCAAATGAAAATTTAATCTATGTTTGTTGATCTTTACTTTCATAAACTATATTTTCCTTCTTCATTCTGTGCTTCGAAACGTTTTGTTTAAATATAGACTCTATGAGTCCTGATCTAGAATCAACTTTTCTTACATCAAAATCTGTTACTTATTTCATTATAATTACCTTGCAACACAAAAAATAACAAGAGAGTGGTACCTAACTTTTCGTCTTAATAACCTCGAATGTTGAATAAAAGCGTCTCCTATCACTTTTGTTTCTCTCATAGTCCATAGCTTTTTGTTGGACTCTCTATTCAATTCAATATCGACATTATCATCTTGTATTCGAATGAATATTTTCTAACTTTTTATACTCAACATCATTATGACATACTATGATAAGGTTTTTGATGCATACATCTAGATAGAAAGAAAGAAAACTCGTGATAGAGTGCATAAATGCTGCACTTCGTATCGAATTAAAAAGATTCAAGTACTTTATTTTTTCGAGTAAAACAATAGCACGTCGTCAGATTGATCTTATGGTTTAAAAAAGAAATGAAAATTTATTATTTAAATAGAATATTATGAATATTAAATATGAATAAAACAGAAGAAAAAACTAGTTTCTTAATAAACAATAGTAAGTGTTGGTGGTATTGCATGAATAATGGTTCCAGTAAAATTTGTAATAACTTGTGTTGTCAATGAATAATCATACAAAACATAAGTATTACCTTTTAAAATTCTAACTTGTCCATTAGTTAAATTAGCTGGTTGAATATTTATTTGTGTATTTGTTAAATTTTTTAATTGATTTATTAATTGATTACTTCGTTGATTCATGCAATTGTTATCACAACTTGTAGAAAAATTTATTAAAAAATCAACTATTACTTGAATTGTACTATTTGAATACCTAAGAGAAATAAAATTTTATATGTATGTAAATATTATGATTGATTTTTATCTTAATTGTTTTCTATACCAAAATTGTAAAATGATCTGATTAATTGCGATATTAAGAACGTTAGAACCATTAGACGATTGTGTTTGTCGTTCAATCTTATGAAATAAATAATAGACAAATAAATGATTTTTTTTGTTTTATGAAAAAGATTCGATCGTTAGAAAGAACATTCTTATACCCACAAAAAATAAATCTCATGAAATATTGGTTTAAACGAGAAATTAGACATTGATTTTTACATATAACTGATATGTCAGAATAAATTGTACTAAATTTTGATACCTTTTAGTTTTTTACTTTCTAAGTATAAAAATTTTTCTTTGTATAAAGTGTCATTTCACTGCGATTTTCTATTCTCTGCTGACGCTTATTGATCTGCGTAGAACCTTTGCATATGAAAGTCGATACTAAAAGTAAATCATTAACGAATAATCCCCTCTTTTCTTGATCATTTCTGGTTTTCTAAAAGGGGTGCAACTGATCCGTATGAACTTTTTATCATAGATAGGACACTTAAAATATGGAAACATGTGTTCGAGAAAAAAATTGAAAAATAAAATTTTCGCAGTTCTATAATGTTTTTCAAGATATCGTAGACAAAGAGATGATTTTAAGTTTTTTCAAATATTTCTCTTTCGATTTTTTATGAAAGAACTATGTAAAGGTTCGGATCAAATAGCCAACAACACAACTGTCGGTATTTTTAAATCCATTTTGGAAAAACATGTTTTCAAAAGCCAGACTTGCTCTATAACAAATTTTTTCTTAAGGTGTCGGATGTAGAATTCAACTCTGATGACCAGAAAAAAGGATGTTTTTTCTGATGCTGTCGCGTTCTTTTACTTCAAAACAGAATTGAATATTCACTGAAACCTCTGTTAAAAACCTGCCATCAGTTTTTTGTTATTTTTTTGACCGTCGTAGTTGGATGACTATGCATGTATTCTTCTTCGAAAGTTTATGACGATAAGAGAAAGTTGTTTGAGACATAAAGTTAAAAATTTTCGTAGATCTTGAAATCCTGTATTTTTAAGCATAAGAGGAAATAAGAATAATGCACTAAGAGTGACACTCGTTAAAGACTTATTTTGTCTTCTAAAAGGCAAAGTTTCTGTACGCATTTCAATATTTTTTTTACTTTTAAAGTTTCATCATTAAGATGACTAAATTTCATCTTACTGTTCGTACTAAGCCAGGATACATTGAAACAGCACCTGCAAGTGGAACTGGTCCATCATTTTGACTTGCTGAAATTTGTGTATTTGATTCATCAAGTGTAGCAAAATAATTACTTTTTGCTGTTGTAACTGTTAGTGTATAATTATTTGCAAGAACTTCTATAAGAATCAATCAATTTCGTATTTTTTTTTTAATTCGCAAATAAAATCTTTCTACTTACGATTACTAAGTTGTGTTGGTTCATTTGTATTTGTGATATTTGTTGGATTATCCAATTGTAATGAAGAAACAATACCTATTAATATATAGAAATAAATCATTGAAATAAAGACAAAAATTTTCTTTTTGTACGTGTAATTATCTCTATATTTTCAATTGGAATATATGGAGTATAGACTATCACTGGATTAGAAAGCGTATAAGAAAAATTTGTTGATTGAATAAGAAAAGGTATTGGTGTTAATAGTTGATTATTTGAACATAATTGTTTAAAAATAATCGATCGACGATATATATTACATGATTTACATTCTCGTGTATATACAATCATAAAATCTAATGTAACACTAAAAAAATAATAATTATTATTAAATAAATAGAAATTAGATACTTTTCTTTTCACCTCATATTATTCGAATTCTCAGTATATGATATCATTTGTAATATATAAATATTAAACTTATCTCGATTATCACCAGCTTTTAATTGTTGTTCAAGCTAGATGACGATAATTTTATTTATTTGGACTATAATTAATACAACTTACTGCATATTGAATCGACGAATTCATCATCGATTGTGCTTCATCCAATGTTAATATTTCTTTCATGTTTGATTTAAACCTAACTAAATCTCGTTTTGCTAATGATCGACTCATCTGTAAAACATAATTATTCATTCTCACAGCTAGAAATATAAATACAAGAAAAAGACAAACATTTTTTTTTGGAATATCATCATCAAATTAATAAATCATACTAGTTAGAATAAAACGTGTTTTTGGTACTGATTTATTTTCTATATAAAGTGGAATAAGTGACAAGACAATGATAGATGCTATAAGAAATGCAAAACCAATAAAAACAAACGTTGTTAATGATGGCATGATTATTTGTAACCAATATTTTCTACGAATAATTATATATAAACACATTGATGATCTTCATATCTAACTTACATTGATTCGGATGTTTGTCTCTTTGATGAAATCATTGTAGAATTTTTATTTACAAAAATCAATTAAATATTCAACAATTTATACTGTCTTTGTTTTTACTTAATTATATGATAAATAAATATATATGTATATATAAAGTTCCTTTTGGGGACATTTGTATATATTTGATGTCCAACATTGATATTCATTATTTGGAACATCAAGATAAAAAAAAAGCAGAAAATTATTTTATTTGCTTTTAAGAATTGTGCATGTTATAAGTAACATGGATGGTATCATATTACTTAAAAAACAAAAAGAAAAACAAAATAAAAGAAATGCTTCAATTTGTTTTTATTAATGCCATCTTTTAAAGTCAAAACAAAAGAACATAGTTGATTTTTATTTCGCACATATTTAAAAATTTGTTTTTTTTTTGTTGTTAATAAAAACAAAAAATTGAACCGATGGAACGTTATAAAGCATCAAGTCAAGTATCTATTGATAAAAGATCCAACGCTACTAAAGACAGTAGTATTCTATCAGTTAATAAACATAATCAAGCACAAAATGAAATTGATAATCTTATTGAACATGGAATTCTTGAATCAATATATAAATATGATTCCAAACTTGATTTTATTTATGCACCAATTATTAGTCTTGATCAAGTTATTAAACAAACTCGTCGACAAACATGTGGACTTATTTGGAATTCAATTCGATCACCAATGATAAGTAAATTAGTATATGATGGTCATTATTGTGGTTTTGTAGAAATTCTTCAAACACCAAAAGAATGGTCACGTTATGATACGGATCTTCTTTTGCTTAAAGTTCGACATAAGAATTTTCTTAATGGACTTGCTCTACGCGATGAATTTGTTCGTGTACTTAAAATTATTCTCAAACGTGATTTTAATGAAGAAATAAATACTGAAAAAAAATATTCTTATGAATTAAAAGATGTTGATTTTACACGAAATATGATACAATTAGTATTTAATAATCGTTATGAATCTGAATTAACTCTTATTATATCTTTAATACTTTTAGTTGAATTTGATATATCTTGTATAGATTTTTTTCATGATACATATACATCACTTTGTAATCATAATGATTTTAATGATTATTTAAAATATCATCCAGATGTAAATCGTACACGTTTAACACCATATAATTCAATAAAATTTCTATTTGATTACAGTTTAATGGAAGCAAATTTATGTGAATATTTATTACAAAAATCAAGTCCATTATCATCAATGTTAACAGGTTTTTTAAAATTACGAAAAGAATGGTTAAAATATGTTCAACGTGCATCAAAATATGCATCAGATACAATTAAAATGCAAATACATTCAGAAAAACATCGTCAATCAACATGTTCAGTTAATTCAATACGATCAGGAACATCAAATACATCAACAATGCATAGTAAATTTTCTATTTTAAATTTCAAAGATTTAATTTAATTTAATTTCTTTTTAGAAATTACACAAAATAAAATTCCATTATCAACAGAAATTGAAGTAGCATTTGAATTTCTATTTTCTATATCATTACTTCGTCTTTTATTTATAACTGTTTGTACAAAATATAAACAATTTGGTGCATCATATGAAAATGATATAGCATATGCTATTGAAAAAGCTTTACAATTATTTGGTGATGCTTTAGAAAATAATTATCTTGAACATCCATTTCTTAAAAATGTGAATTTTTTACCAGATTGTTTATTAACACATGAAATAAGTATTAAAATTGGAATAAAAAGATTAGTTAAAGAAATGCAACGAGATTGGAAACGAAATATACGTCGATAGAAAAAAAAATAATGAATCAAAACTTGTTTTTCTGTTTATACCGTGTATTTTATTTTTTTGTAGCTAAATAAAAACACGCATAAGAAGTTGTTTTTCATGAGAATCATTTCTTTGCAAAAATAATCAACGACTCTATTTATATATATATATATATATATATTTATTTGCACAAGGGACATTATATGTGTTTGTATGTAACAACAGAACACAATAACACAAAAATAAAACGATAACCTTGAGTCTTTGATTGTGCCATTTTGAAGAAGAGAGTGTAAGAGAGAGAAAGATCTATAGGCAATTGTGGTTTATTTTTTGTCAACATTAAATTCATCGGTGAAGCTTTCTTACGTGTATATTTTTCTAGTAACCTTTTTTCTCTAAAACAAGTCAACATACAAACACCTCCGCGTGTTTCTTCCTGCTGATACTTTTTGTAAAAAATAACTAGGCGGCTTCTTCGCTTATTCATCATCATCATCATCCTTTTCTTCCTATTTTTCCTTGTTACATATCTTACATGAATATAGAAACGACAACGACGACCCTCTCCTCCTAACGACGACATAAAGGTGAAAAGCATAAAGAGCGTTGACGTCAGAGTAGTCAACAAATCGACGACATTCACATAGGAGCAGTCATTTCATCATGTTGACAACAACAGAAAACAACGTTTTTTCGTTCATCTAATCATATGTAGGTAAATAAGCCAAAGGTAAGCAAAGATTATTTATTTATCATTTAAGAATTAAGAAACTTAGATAGTTCATATAACAAAACATTTTTGTTTAGTAATTATGTAGTCATATATAAAGAGCAGTATAGTTTTACGATCTTATTGAATATATAAATATACAATGTAATAGTGTAACTATATTATCTACCCACAAAATCATTTCCTTTTTTTTTTGTTTTGTTATTTATTAATCATCAACTCTATTGGAATATTGTATTCCTTATATTTTTGTTTGCATCAGATTATTGTGGTGAAGTAATCTTTTTTTTTCTGTTGCTACGTCGTACGATTTACAAAAAATAATCATTTCTCGGATGCCAGACGGTGTTCTTTTATTACACGCATTTTTTCATCAATATAAGGGAAAAAAAAATGACTATCGAAATAAGAGAAGAAGTAAAAAAAGAACAAGATTAACTGAAAAAATAAATGGCACCATAAAATGTTTTTCTTTTTTTGGCTAAACGAACAAGTTCTAACCAGAAAATAAATTTCGTTTTTTTTTTTCGTTTAATAAACTTATTGATTTCGTTGTTGCTGAAATAATTTATTTTTGAATATTTCAAGATTCATAATCTTCACTTATTTGTCACAATTAATTGTGAAATCGATGAATCTTTTACGAATAAAAGAAGAAGAAAAAAACAGAAATAATTTACCAATTTATGACAGAAAGAAAAACATTAATTTAATATGTCAGAGTGCATTTATGTATGATTTTTCTGTTAAATATAAAAAGGTAGTAGGTTACTATGCTATTAACTAGGTCTCTTTTTTTCAGCAATCAAAATACAATGTGTCATTACTGTAAATCACGACGAGACATTTTACATGATAACTTTCGATTAAGTATAGAAGACATTGTAAAGGTAAATATCACGAAATGAGATAAAAAGATGACCTGACAATTCCTTTATACATAGATAGAAAGAAATCTAACACAAAAAAATCTTTCTCTTCTTTCATATGTTTTATTGTGATAAAAATTCATTTTTTTTTTCCTTTCGTGATCAACACGCACATACACATTTTCGTTTTGTTTCTTTCGTCACAGGCATAAACAGAGAGCTCATTTCTTTTTTCTTTCTTATTGTATGAATATATGAGGAAAGGCCACATCAAACATATAACGACAAAATTTTAATATACATACATCTACTCTCTTACGTGTACACGTAGTTCGAGTCTATTATATATGTTGACACAATTCTTGGTCGCGCCGACCACTGTTGAATATATATATATCTATCTATACATATAAATGTGTTGATCTTGAACTATACAACGACTATACATTAATGACAAAGAAAAAGAAAATGATGTAGAAGATGAGTATTATAATAAATGAAGGTACTAGCTATTGTTAACTCAATCAATGAACAATCATCTAAGTTCAAGTTTGGTCAAGTATTTATGGTGATGTCAGATTGGCAAAATAACCGATGAATGTGAGTCTATCGACTATCCTTGACAATATAAAAAATATCATGTTTTTTTTTTCTGTATGACGCATAAGTAAAGGTAATAGTTAGATACACTCACACTCGTACGATTGTCAGTGACGAAGATTGAAACCTATATAAAATAGTACAAAGACCCATTCTATAAGAGTGTAGAGAAAAAGAAGTTATTCAAAACAATATAAATGTAAATTATTCGTTATATAAGAAAATACATTCAAGTTTATTTTTAAGAAAAAAAAAAAAAAAAAAAAGTAAGTAAAATGTCAAGAACAAAAAGAAATAAAGAACTTATTTGCTCTTTTCAACTATTTTTTCTATTGATTAAAAGGCTAAAAAATGTTTATCATTAGGTGCATCATCCGCTCTTCTTTGCCGGCCTCCAATGACCGAGAGTTATTTAACTACAGATATTATTGTTATTATTGTTCTAGTCGTCGTATTAAGTATGTTTTAATTTATTTTGAAAAATAAATAAAAAATTATTTAAAAATTTTTCTAGTTTTAATTGGTGCATGTGCTTTTTTTACACATTTTTATTGGACAAAAATTGGTGTTGCTGAAATATGGAATACAGCAAAATGGAGTTCAATGCGTAGTTCATTTTATAATACAATGCGTCGTTTTAGTGCAGCAAGTACTAATAAATTTAGTTCTGAGCGACCATTTTCTGCCGAATCCGCTTATTCGGATGATCCAGATGGTAGTGCACTTCCAGCTCCATTACGAAATAAAAAATCAAATCTTGCTAATCCTTCAAATATTCAATCATCTTCAACATTACCCACTCAACCAAAATCTAATAATATACGTCAAGCATCAAGTAATCAAGTACAGCCGGTTTCTGTTGTATCATATAATAAATCCGGAAGAACCAATTACGCAACTAAAATAGGACAATCTCCCGAAAATACAAAAATTCATAATATTCACGAAGACGATGATAGACATCGTGATGGATCTGTTGTTATTGAAACAAATCGTTTTTAAAAAAAATCATATACGAGTCTTCATCTTATGATAAAAGATTAACCCTCCTTTTTTTTTTTTCAAAAATTTCAATCATCTGTTTTTTTCTCTCAAAATATTGGTGATATTTTGCTTCACCCTGGTGATAAAACTTTTCTGGTTCTTTATTTTTTGTCTTTTCATTTAACTGATGACTTATCTTTTTCCTTTCTCTCTCTCTCTCTGTTTTGCTTTATTTTTATGACGTATTACTTTTGTTATTTATGATGACGATGATTATGATTGCTCGACTATTTTTATGTCTAAATTCTTTTTCTTCTTTACTGTGAATACGATGCGCGCAATTGCGCTTTTGTCTTTCGGTGATATTTGTTGTAGCTTTTAAATGCATTTGTATAATATATATATGTATACGAAAGCTCGAAAAACACAAATATGAACTACGGTTTTTTTTTTGTTTTTAAAATTTATTTATTTATTTATTTTTTTTTTTGACAAGTCGAACAAAACAGAATGTACAAAATAAAAGCAAAATCACAGTTATACATGAGAAGGATGACTAGATAAATTAGGTGATTGTTGTTCACTTTCCATACGTTCGCTTGTATCCATGGAAGTATTTTCATATCCGAGACCTTGTCTATAATTACGATAATTGATGTTTACAGGCGTTGTTATGCCATTTTGATTTAAACCAAGACCATTACCAGGTGTCCAACCAATTTTTTCTAATAATTGATGACCAATATTTGTTGAATCAATTGGTGCAACAATATCATCTATTATACATAGTTAAAAGAATAAATAGTACAAACATCAAAAAAAGAAAATAATTTACGATGTTTATGTGGATAATGTTCAGATTTAACACGTTTATGATTATAACTATTATGATGAGAACGGCGAGTTTCTTTTAATAAACGAACATGTCGTTTTAGATGTGGATGTGTACAAGTATTCTAAAATTAAATTATTATCTAGATAATATGTATATATATATGAGAGACATTTTAACTTAAGGTTAACAATTATAATTTGAGGTCAGCTTATAACCTTGATTTGAATGGATTAGTTAAAATGTTATCAAAAAGATATTTTTATTTTGAACTGTGAATATGAATTTAATGCTAGAATGATTGATATGAAGCAAAGAGAAAATAAAACGTCATGTTAATTAAGTATTCAAATGAGTGATTGATTATTTTCGATTGCTTCATTAGGTTAATTGGTATAATTAAATATTGTTTTTTTTTTTTCTCCAATCAAAAACAAACCGAGCTATGCAGGTGTAAATACACACTCGTATATAAGTATGATTGCTGCTTTACTCATACGCGTACTCGTAGTGCGAACAATTGATGACCGTACTCGATAAATTTCGCATTATTTCAACTCCGCAACAAAATTTATTTGAATAGGAATAATTTATAAAAAAAAAAAAAGTACAAATTTAGAGTAAATTTTTGTTTTCATATGTTTTTTGTATACGTGATTAGACACAGCTCGACAAAATGAATAAGAATGAATATATATGTCTGAATCATGACCTTTAGATAGTTCTGAATAGTTTTATTTTCATGATATAACATTTTATATGTCAAAGCAATTACTATATTGTTTTTTCGATTTAGAAAAAAAAAAAAAACAAATTCACATTCCATCAGGATTATAAAGTCGGATATATTCATATTAGTTGTCAAAGATTAAGTCTATGGGATTTATTACAAAAGTACTCATATCAATTTAGTATTTATTGACAAAACTAAATATTTCAGTTTGACATTTGAAAATGTTAAATAACATTGATTTATAAAAATTAAAAGAAATACACATCTATTTAAATCGTATCTTACTTTTGAACTAATATTTCTGCGATTTCCTGTTAACATTTCTCTATTTACGAATGTATTAATTCGATTTTGCATTGTAGTTTTTGAATTAGGTAATACCATATTTAATGCACTATTAACAATTTTTTGTAAGGTTCCTTCATTTGTTGTTAACATTTTTTCATCATCATCATCATCATCATCATCGTCATCATCATCATTATCTTCTTTCCATGATAGAACACGTGGAATACTACTTTCTTCTTTTGGCCAATCTGATTGTTCATCATCAGCTTCATTACTTGTTAAACATGGATCTTTATCACTATCACTTAAATTTAAACTACTACTACTACTAAAATTTGTTCTAAAAATTAAAAAAAAAAAATCAATTTAGAAAATAAGAATTGCACTGTTTTTCTTTTGATTTTATTTAAACTTACAAATTCGAATCATCAATATATGTCATATCATAATCTTGTAGATTACTATTTCGTAAACGAAAATCATCATGAATAATAGCACGGGATCGTTTACGTTTACCATTATAATTCATATTACTAATAGCCAATGATAATGATGATGTTGATGATGGTGTTGATGGATCATCATCAATATCAATTTTTCGATTATTGTCTACATTTCGAACATTATGTCGTCCATTATGTAAATATGTATTTGTTGTACAATTGGAAACTTTCGCACTTGAACAACGTGTTAATTTAATAGGTTGTTCAGTTTTTGATACTGATGGAATGATTGGTTTTTTAAATGGACGACGTCGTCGTCGTATTTCATCTGGTTGTGAAGCCGAATCAGATTCTGATGCAACAACTAATGATGATTGAGTTTCTAATAAATAAATAAAAACAAAAAAAAACCCTGTTAGGATAATCTCAGATTCTATGTATCAATCTATCTTGGGATATATTTCTTCACTATACTTTCATTTAATCCTTTAAAAATACAATAAGATACTAGTTTATTTTTTTATAATAAAACACTATTGATATTTGGTCTATGAGAGATTCAAATTTTTATTCCTATACTTAAACACTCTTTGTTTTTTTGCTTGTGTTTTTTAAAATTTTTTTTTAATTTAGTTCTTTTGTTTTGCTTTTAATATTACTTGATGTCACAGGTATATAATCGTCATCACTAGCAATCGATTGTTTATTTGTATTTCGATTTCGTGTATTTTCTGGTGTTGTACTATCTGATGCTTCAGCTATTTGTTGTTGTATATCATTATTTGTAGGACGTTTTCGTCGTCGTTTTATTTTTAATGTTGTAGCAAATGATGATGAAGATGTCATAGGAATATTTGATAATTGTGATGTTGAAATATTAGCATCATTTAATGCACTATTAAGATCAGCAGCTAATTGATCCATGATTTTTTTTTGAATACAACGAATTTTATCTTTGATTAAAAAAACATGAGAACTTTCATCCATTCGAATTTAAATTGATAAAACAGCTTGTTGAGTAATATTTATCCAAATTTTGAAAAAAAAATTGATCATCTGAAAATAAATTTTGAAAAGCAAAAAAAATAATTTTATTGAAAAGAAAATAATTATGAACTTTTTTTTTTTTTTACAAATAATTTAAAATAAAATATTAGCCTAAAACAGGAAATCTTAAATTAATTAAGTCCTTTTTGAAAGAAAATATTGTTGTTTGCTCATATTTATCAAATGCTTTATAGATAACACCTAAATTCTAGATTAGTACAGAGAACTTTATTGAAAGAATTTTGATATTAACTTCTAAAAGTTAAGAACATTGATATGAATAAAATCCAGCATTCATTTTTCTTTTTGCACTTTAATGATTTGTATTCGACTTTTTTATATCTAGTTTGTTTCTACATTTAGAAGAACTTTTTATTGAACAAATCGATGAGTCATAATGAATCGCTAGTTTTTTTTTATATCTTCTCGTTACATTACTTAGTACATTTTATTTTAAAATGAAATCCTAACATAAGATACAGCGTGAAAAACTCTACAAATTACAATAAAAACTTTATTTTATATATATATACATCCTTTGATTTCAAAATGTCCCAAATGTCGTGCGACTAATTTTTATCTTGTCGGTTGATAATAATTGAATTATTGATGAAAAATATTTTTTATTAGAACATGCTCATGCTGTAAGTCAACAAAAAGCAGACGAACAAAATACCATAAACTACAAGATCCAAGATGCAAAAAGAATGATAGTATGGTTAGCTATACTTAAAAATATTCTTAGGTCTTCTATTATATATAAAAATGATGAAAAATATATTGAAGAAGTTAGTTTTTTCATATAAGTAATTTGAAGGCTAATGACTGCTAGGTGATGATTCCATATATCAACAAAACAACATGACATTCTACATATTTCAGGAATCATTGGTATGGTGTGAAGAGAATTTTATGTCTTTTATCAACAATCACAGATGGCTATAAAAACAACCTTGATCTCAATGTTTTTTGGATTATTATATATGAGATATTATTATCAATATTATGTTATGGGATAAAGTTGAAGACTGATTGTTTAACCGATAAGATAACTAAAGGAATTTGTCGTGTACCGAAAAATGATCCTATTCACATACAGAATTTTATCCATTTGAAAAACAAAACATGCATATATAATATAAAATTTTCATTGTAACTTAAAGAGTTTTTCAGGCTGTTTTTTTTTTTCAAATAAAATATTCTAAATAATTAAAAGTAAAACTAAAGAAAAAACATTTCAGGTATTCATTATGAGTAATCCGTCAAAATAAAATGATTACTTATTTTAAAAATAATATTAAAAATATGTCATTCAATTTCATTTAAAATATACGTACAATGATTATTGATATATTACATTGTATTAATACATAACCGATTATCGAAAATTGTATAAGTTTTCTGTATTGTATTTATTAATTTTATCTAGAAAAGAAATTAAATTTTTTTCTCTCCTATTTAAGTCGATTAGAATGAAAGACTAATAAACAAAACTGTGCAACGAATTACATTTTGACCAAATATATATTACAAAGTACTTCCATAGAATATAGATGATTTCATTATGCTTAACTAACGAATGGTCCAAAATTAACGAAACAAAATGTTTACTTTTTGTTAGGGCACTTTCTAATACATTAGTCTTCTTTGATAGATCATTAGAGAGAGCATTTTCTATTCTATAAAACGATTGTCTTTGGTTTTAAAATAAAGTTTTTTTTTTTCGGTGAGATTTTGAAGTTGAGTTGTAGCCATTTTACGAAATTTTTTTATTTGAGACTTTGTCCATAGATAAATAGAACGATTCTAGGAATATCCTAAAATTTTCAAGTCAATTCAATGTATGTTATATTCATGTAGCTAACAACTATGGATATATCAGTTTGAGTAGTTCCCTCGTAAGTGCATTTTAATATTTAACACTTTATAATTGAATTAATATTTGACAGAAATCGATTAATTGAATAATCTAGAATAAATTTAAATAACAAAATGTATTGATGAAGAATTTACATCTAAAGTTTTACAACTTTTTCGTTTATATTCAGTTTGAATTATCTATTAAATTGAAATATTTTTTCTTTCTTTTCTTTTCTTTTTTGTAAACATTAAAATTGAAAATTTTCAAATCTATGTTTTATCATTTGATGAATTCGAATACAAGAAAAACAAGAAGAAAAAGGACCATAGAATATATATTTATATTTATATATATATCATAATAAGTGTGTACATGTTGACAGATGAGTATAAACTCTTGAGTAGAACCAAAAAGCAACAAACTGAGAAAAAAAGAGATAGAGAGAGATAGATAGATAGAAAGAATTATTGTTTCTAGACAAAAAGAAAAGGCTATGAAGAAATACATTGAGCAAAATAAGAACGAAAACAGTTGCCGATTGAATCGAACCAAAAGAAAAAAACAAAAAAGAAAAATATAGACTCTCTTTCTACACATCCAATATAGGTGTAAGAAAAGAAAAACGAAAGAAAGAACTCGTTTATAACAAAATAAGAATTATGGCTGTTGTAGTTGTAATTTATATTGAAGTTCTAATGATATACGTTTATCAATTAAATCTGTAAGTTGATCTTCCCAATGTTTAAGTTGTGCTTTAAGTACTGAATTTCGAGTTTTTGTTTGATTTAATGCTGTATGAAGATTTTCAATTGTTGTTGTTGATGGTGTTGATATAATTGATGCTAATTCTTGTAAATGATCAGGTTGAAGTAAATCTCGTATTTGTCCAAATAAAAAATTTGCATCCGATTGTTGTGGTGTTGATGTTACCGATGGACGTGTACGATTATAAAGATATGGTGTTGTTGTTGTTGATGATGATGAATTATGATTAATATTATTTGTTGTTGTTTGTATAATATTACGTTGAGGAGTATCATTAATAATTGTACGTGGAGGTAATATTGGTTGATGAGGTATATCAACAGATGCTGTACGACCAGGTGCACGAGGTGGTGGTGGTGGTGGAGGTGGTTTAGTTGTTGGAACAACAATTGGTGGTGGTAATGGTGGTGGTGTTGATGAAAGACGAACAGGTACTGGTGCAACAATACGATGATTGTCAGCTAATGGTGGTCCATATATAAATTGTTTAGGTGAATTTGTATTATTATCATCAATATTATGATTTGTTAAATCACTGTTTGTATCTTTAAAATTAGCCCAATTTTCTGTTTGTTCATTTTTTTGTGATAATATTGTTGTTGAATCTGATAAATCAATAAGTGGTGTATATGGTTGTAATTGTAATGGAAGTTCATCGGGTAATTCAAAACCATTAACACGTAAAACAACAAGATGCATAGCAGTACAAAATTCCGCAAGTGATAATGCACCATCATGATTAACATCAGATAAATTCCATATTTGTGATAATTCACTTGTTGGTAAACGTGAACGTTCAAAAAATTCTTTTGCTATATTACCTAAAATAATTAAGAAGAAAAAAAAAAAAAAAAGAAAAATAAGTCTTTGTGTTTTATATTTTTGCATTTATTCAAAAATTTAATTTACCACTTATAACTTTTGTTATATCTGATTGTATATCTTTAAATTGTTTTGTATAATATTCTCGTTGTACATTATTTATAGACCATGGATCATCAACAATATCTTGTTCACTTTCATTATCATCATCAGCATCATCACCACCATTATTTGATATACTTGATGATGATTCATTATGATCACTTTCACTTGTATCACTTGGACTTTGATTATTTGTATTTTTATTATTATAACGATGTTTATTATGATTACCATTATTTGGTTTTGTTAAATACATCGTCCAATCTTTTTTAAATGCTACTGGTTGATGTTGAGATGTTGTTGATGTTAATGATGATGATGATGTTTGATTAATAGCATCATGTAAACGTGTTGAATTACTTCCAACTAAACCTTTACCTTCATCATCAGATTCAATATATGATGATAAATGTTGAACACTATCCGATTGTGAACTAAGAATTGATATTGTATCAATATCTAATCGTGAATGAACATCAGCTATTGGTATTGATGGATGACGAAGTGTGACGCCATCACTGGTCGTCATTGCTTTTTCTTTTTTTTTGTTTTATCTTGTTTGATTCGTCGATTCACCCAAACACGAAATAATATAGAAAAAAAAAACGAAGAAAAAGAAAAAAAAAAACCTTTAGTTATAAGAAGAAAATTTTTTTATTAGATAGAAATAAGGACACAAAACAAAAAACATACACAGCATGATATAGACGAACTAATAAATAGAAAACATTAATTTAACAGTCAATAAACATGCTGTTTTCATTGATGATAAAAAAAAAACAAAGATTTTGTCTTTTTTCCGAAAATTAACTACTATTCACAGTTGGTACGCTATTCTTCTTTTTATTATTGACTCAAGGTTTTGTAAGACTGAAATAAAAGCTGTTTTGTAGTTAGCAAAAAACAAAAGAAAAGAAGAAAAATGCTGATTTAATTTTTCTTGTTTTATTTTTTTGTACGACCTAATGGACAGAAAATATAGAACGACCAATCTAGCTTGTTGGAATTAGGACTATAACAAATAAGATATATGATTCATATTTATCGTAGTCTTTCGGTCAAGTGGTTAAGCAGTGAACGAAACATAATAGAGCGTACTACGTCGCTACGTTAATTGTAGCTATATTATTCACATAAATAAATTATTTCATTAGATGTCACCAGTTATCGAATATTAATAAGTCAATGATTTTTGAAGTCGCATTTTGATCATGAGCATTGAATTACACTCAATTTTTATTAATACATATGTATAATTCAAAACTCAATATGAATAATTCTACATTTAATCGTACATGTGTATGTATGATTCAACATTTTTTGCGATGTAAAAACAAAAAAACAAGAAACTTTATATTTTCAATCTTCAAATGATCATTTTACACTTAAAAAAAGAAAAAGAATATCTAAAGATAATTTAATAATAATGTATATTGTCTAAATGTTAAGTGAAATTCAGAAATTTTTATGAAAACATATAAAATAAACTAAAATATAATCATGCAAAAAAAAAATAAGTTCTATTAAAATAAAAATAAAAAAATGCCGTTATTTAATACCATAGATATATTCTTGTTACATATCCATGGGCAAAAGTTTTTACCCCCTGATTCTCTCTTTTCATTCTTTTTCGTATCGAACTCTTTTCGTCTCAAGTGAGTGTTAGTTACAAGAATGTTTTAAGTGATGTATTTTAATATAGTGTGTAATTGATCACGATCTGCATCAATAAAGAATGTGCGTCATTCAATATAAGAAGTTAATACTAAAAATGAGTTAGTTGATTGAATACTTTCATGGTTGGATTATGTTCTTTCTTTTTTTTTTCTTTTGATATATTTTATAAATCTACCACTAATTTTACTTTATTGGTATTTTGTATAATCGCTTATGTCACATTCTTGAAAGAACTTTGATTGATCTAATCAAACTAGTAAAACAGTTTACAGATATAACAAAGAGAGACAATTCAATCGTGAAAAATTCGGGCAACTAACTCATTTGTAATGTTGCTCAACTCTATTGAAGGACGCATAGTCTTTATTGAAACAAATCGTAATCAAGCATACACTACATTAAAATACAGTACTTGAACCATCTTTGTAACTAACATTTGTTTAAAACTATAAGAGTCCTATATGAAAAGAGCAATGAAGAGAAAGAATTTTACTCAGAGGGTATATTATAAAAGTTTGATGATTTCTCAAGATATATAATTGAATCAATGTACATTCTTTTTGATAGAAAACTGAAGGTCAAAAAAATATAGAACATTGTCATTAAAAGAAAAGTGTAAATTAACATCTTGTTTCTGACCATGTTGGATTTAATATCGTTCCTTTGATTATATAACAAGAATTAAGTACTATTGAAGAAAATTCTTGTGTAAAAATTGTACTATAAATAGCAATAAATGTAAGAGCTTTACACTCAAGATAAGTCCAAACAGCATCAAAAGGTATATCTAATCTTGAACATTGAAAAATTGGAAATAATCCTGTATCATATTTTTGAATTTGAAATCCATAAGTAAATGATCGTGATTCAAGATAACATTTTGCTAAATAAACACCTTGATTACATATACGAATATAAGTACCAATTGAAAAGCTAATATCTAAATAATAATAAAATAATAATAATAATATAAACAATTACTTTCATTAAATTACTAATAATAAACAATAGACCAATAATGAAATATTTCGACATATTTTATACAATAAACTTGATAGAATATACAAACAAAAAAAAAAGAAGAAGAAACAGAGAAGACCTTGTTCTTTCAATTATTTGTTTACAACACGACTATATATGATTTCAAAATGAAAATCAAGTAACAAATGACGATTGATATCATAACAAATGTTATGTCAGTTAAATTACATCATATGGAAGAATTAGAGAAGATACTTGTATCATTTTACTTAGAACTAGGTTCTGTTTGAATGTATACAAAACAGTTTAGAATATATAAAATAAATTTTCAACTTTCATGTTTTTAATTTTAATAGACCTCTTTTAGAATCTAGAAATAAATTTAACAGTAATAAAACTAGATATAGCTATTATGTTTATTCGTCGTTTTTTAATATAAGTTTGATTGTAACAGATTCTACATCGTCATCCATAAAACGTTTCGTATTTTTAAACTATCTTTAAAAGTAATAGATCAATAATTATTTGATATGGCATTGATTAAGTACATTTTCTTCATTAGATCAGATATCATTAGTTTTATGAAAAAGAATCATAAGAATAGGAATTAACTAAAACTTTACGTTTCTATAACAAATATCATTTATTACAATGACTTTTATATAAAAAAAAAATTGTCTCATAAATGAAGGATTAGATTCAAATCTCTTTTTAAACCTCTATGCACTCTTAAAAATCAACCTTGAGTGAAGTATATTCAAATTACATGAAATTTTCGTCTATGATATCATGATGTTTTCATTAGATATTTAATAAACGAAGATTTAAAATAACTCATTTCGTAACTTGAACATTCTTTGTCGATCCTCAATCTATAAATTTAATTGTCTTTTTTTATTTGAAAGAGTATGTTAGAGTACAGTACTTAACAAAATTCTTTCTGTTTCTTAAATTCTTCCTTTTTTATGCAGAAGAAACGGATGACAAGTTCAACATCTCGAAAAGTGGTCACCTATTTATAGAAGTGACTTTTTTTTATAAGCACAAACCAGTTTAATTAAAAAATTTCAAATTATAAAAACAGACAATTGACTACCATAAATCTCTTTCGAAAATTCTAGAATTTGTCAACAAAAAACAAAAAGGAAAAAGGTTTTTCTGGAGGAAGTTTATGAATGTAAGATTGTACTTTGCAATTGGAAATATTCATTTGTTTTTTAGAGATAGATTCACACAGAAAAAATAATCCATAATTTATATAATTAAAGACAAAGAGATACAGAAAGTGTTTGTAGATTTGATATTGTATAGGGACGACTATCGATCAATTAGCTATAAAGAAATGAATAAAATTCTAATATTTACTAACTAATAATTATTAAAAATGAAAATTATTTTTATGCAAGTATTTTAAAATAAATCATAAAAAATCGATCAATAATTTAGAATTGCTATAATTAGAAAAGTTAAGTACAATACTAATTAAACATTAATTATTGTATGACTCATGATATTAGTATGCGTTCGAAATTCAACTGAATTCCGATATCAATTGTGACATATGTTTATGGAAGGTTCGACCTCAAGCAATCTTCCCACGTATTTATTTTCTGACGAAATTGAACTTTTATTTGAAATAGTAACAGAGGCAGAGTTAAGGTTTTCGCTCAGTACAATGAGTCATATATGAAAAACAGCATACATATTTTCTGTTTTTATCAATAGAACACGCATGACTATATTGTGCAATTACTGAAATACATTTATGTCAAGTCAATATTTCATAAATTTGTTGGCTCTTTACATCAACCTATTGCATCATTAAATTCGTCTAAAACTATAAAAAGAAAGAGTTTAGTGTATTTTGGTTTGTATTCAGTAAAAAAATCTCATCATGTCTATAGACGAACAATCATCGATTTCGATTTCATCTAATGATTTAACAACTTGTATCAAAGTTCTTTCCACATTTACTAATAAAGATAAATATTTTTCAATTGAATCAGATGAATTTGCAAGTATTCGACCAATAATACATCGTTTACATCATATTGGAAAACGTTTAAATAAAAAAACAAAAAAATATAATTCAGATTCAATAAAATTAATTGATCAAAAAGTCGTTCGATTACGTCGAGCTAGAAAATTTAAACAATTTCGATTAGAACATACTATTGTACCTGATGGTATTGTATCAATGGAAACAATAAATAACGATAATGAAAATAATACAACACAACAATTAAATGAATCAAAATCTTGTTATTTATGTAAACTTGAATATCATATATTACATTTTTTTTATGATCGACTTTGTCCATCATGTGCCAAATTTAATTATGAAAAACGTATACAAACAACTGATCTTACAAATTGTATTGCTTTAGTAACGAATGGTCGAATTAAAATTGGTTATCGAATTGTTTTAAAATTATTACGTGCTAATTGTTTTGTTATAACAACAAGTCGATTTCCAATCGATTTTTTAAATCGTTTAAATAAAGAACAAGATTTTGAACAATGGAAAGATCATATACATATTTATGGAATTGATTTACGATATTCACAACTTGTAGAATCATTTACAGAAATGTTAATTGAAAAATATGATCGATTAGATTTTTTAATTAATAATGTTTGTCAAACAATTCAAAAATCAAATGAATTTTATCAACATTTATTTAATCATGAAAGATTAACTAATTATTCTCTTTTACCGAATGATCAACAAAAGATTTTAAATGGAAATCTACAATTCTATGAACGATTAGTACCATTTTCTAATCGAATTCAACAAACATCATCATATTCACCATCTTTACTTTATACAAATAACTCAAACAATATTCCTAAACAAACATCTTTAATAATTAATAATACTTCATTTGATATAAACGATCAACTCATTGATTTTTGTTCAACAAATTCTTATTTATCACGTCTTAGTGATTTATCAACAATTGAAATGAATGAAATTTTTACTATAAATACTTTAGTACCATTTATTCTCAATAGTAAACTTAAAATACTTATGGCTGATAAACATCCAAATCCAGATAGTATTAAATTTATTATAAATGTATCATCTATCGAAAGTTCATTTTCTCATTGTAATAAAACTGATCAACATCCACATACAAATGCAGCTTCTGCTGCATTAAATATGATGACACGTACATCAGCTATAGATTATCAAGTATCAAATATTTTTATGATTTCTGTAGATACAGGTACATTGATTTCAGAATATATATATTTTTTTTTTGTTAAATTAAAATTTTTTTATTTTAATTTTCTAGGTTTGATTAATAATAAAAATACTTTAGAAAACACAATGAAATCAATGATTGATCAAGATTTTCAAATACCATTTGATGAAGAAGATGCTGCAGCACGTGTTCTTGATCCAATTATTGATACTTACAAACAATTATCAGAAGGAAAAACAGATATTAATATTCCTTATGGATGTTTTCTAAAAGATTATCATATATGTAATTGGTAATATGATAAATAAATTTCAATTAATTATTCTTTAAACAAATATAGATTGTCACTGTATATTTTGAGCAATCTATTCTACGTAAAATATGATTCAAAAGAAAGAAAAAAAAAAAAAAAGGAACGATGAGATTATAATAAGGAGAAAAAAAAACACGAAAAAATACACATTAGTTTTGTCTACTTTGACAATAAAATTCATATAAAAAAAAAAAGAAAAGGCAAAACATATTTGTATTCAGAATACTTCTATCAATTCTCATGGATAAGGAATTTTGTTTTTCATATCAGTGATTGTCAATTAAGTATATAAGATAATTTGAGATATTCATATCCGAAATAGAAAATGCTGTAATGAATGGAAGAGATCGATTGTTTAACTATATGTACATATAAAAAGACAATAATATAGTAACGTTATCATGTTTTTAATGAATTTATTTTCCACTCCATGCCATAATCACTTTGCTAAAACCAACAAATACTCCTTTATTTGGTTTACTTAAATAAAAGAACAAAAACAATAAAGATAATTAAATAAAATTTAATATTTATTTTGTTTTTCATACCATTGAAATAAACGTTGACCTTGATAGACACCATCATGTTTACTTTCTGTGAAAGAAACAAAAAACAAAAAAATATTATTTTGTAGAAAAAGAAAAAAAATATTCATGATTAATTTTTTACCTTCATCTTCTAATTCTAAGCCAAGATATTGATCAGTTTTGCCTGGTAATGGACCAATATATTTAACAATACCTTTACTAATTTTACCACCTGGTCGAGAAAATTTAATTATATCATTTATATGAATATCTGTAATAGATGATGGAGCATAAGGACGTCGTGGACTGTATGAAAAAAATCAAAAAGCAATGAATGATTAATTGTACTATAAATCTATTTTACCTAGTTGTTTCAACACTTGGTCGACGATGACGACCATGATGACGATCTATATTAAAATAGAATAAATCACTAAATACAAAAAAAACAAACTATTTTGTTTTTATACCTTCATGTATATCATCCTCATTATTCATTTGTCTATTTGGCATTGTATAACTATTAGAACGACGTGATTGATGTTGTGTTTCAGGTATTGTAATAGTTCGACTAAGACCATAATTTTGTTGATATACTTGAGATGATGATGATTGTGGTGGTAACGTTGGGGATATATAACCATTTGTTCCATCGATTGGATGTTGTCGTTGCAAACGATGTTGATTATCATAATTTCCTATATCTAATTTAAAAAACAAAATTTATACAAAAAAAATTAATAAAAATGATTTACTTCGATGTTGTAATCCTAAATAGAAAAATAAAGGACACTATTAAATATAAAAAGCAAGAAAATAAATATAAAATGTGAATAGTGAAAAATTCGACTATGTGTAACTACAGATATAGAACGAACGAATAAAATAAAAATAAAAATAATAAGAAATGACTACGATATACTATGTGTATGTGACTGAGTGTTCAGAAAAAAAAAATATTTGAGGATTTGTTTTTTTTTTTACCGCTGTATGGTACTAATGCATATTTAAAGGGGTCTATGGGTAACAAAAAAAGAAGTTTTATTTATTCTTTTATTTGCCATTATTACATAGAATGAGATCTATCCTGTATAAAACATTGTTCTTATTTTATTTTTATGAAATTTACCTTCATTCTGTTGAATATTTTCTTCATCCCATTCAACAGAACGTTTTGGTTTTGATGAACGATAATTTATTTGTGGATCTATTGATTTTGGTACTGAATTTGTATAATTATTTCGATGATATTCTTCTTGTCCGATTATTGATGGATATCTTGATGTTTGATGATGATTATTACTATCAATTGCTATTGATCGATGCGTTGATGTTGATGGTCGATTATTATAACGTTCAACACTGACAGTTGTTAAATAATTTGTTGAATCACTTCCTTCGGATAAATTTGGACTATCACTTCGAATAACTAATAATAAAATAAAGTTAAAGAATAATTTCGTTTTTGTTTTTTTTTTTTTGAAAGATTTAAAAAACTAAAAACATTAATTTATTAAATGAATATCCCTTTCTTAATTTATATTTGTCTATTATAGTTTAGTGATCATTTTAATTTAAATTAGATTAAGAAAATCTTGTTATTTTATTATTTGATTTAATCCAATTTAGCTGGAAATTTTGTTTAGAAAGAGTCGACTTTCATGATTATTTCAATCAATGACGACTAACATTCAAGAATTCTTTTGTTCGATATAACACCTAGACTGTTGAAATGTCATAGCATTATTGTTTGATTGAACCTTACAAAACTATTTTTCCCTAATCCTGATTTCAATCTCATTTTTGTAAAATCTTTATAGTTTTTAAAATACATGCAAAATCTGTATGAATGATTTCGATAAGATGATATACTTAATCTTGAAAGAATCAGGCCTTGAAATCGGGCCAATTTTTGATAGTTTGCACCGAATCAAGAATTACTTATATCTATGTGGTCCAACTGGTGAGGGAATATTATCCATGAATCAATCGCTTTGGAATTTATGCTCGATGAATAAAGGTAGACTTCAAAAATATATGAGAAATCTGAAAAGGATGAGTCCTTGTAGCCACATTTTTTGACGTTTTACTAGAAACTTAGCCTTTGACATGATATATATATTAACAAATGGAATGAAGATATTTTATTCTGAAATTTTTCTTACAGACAGGTCTATTTATTAATAGAATGTCTTGAAAACTTTAACTCTAAGAAACCTTTGTTTTGCAAACTCTCAAAATCCGAAAAATCATTCATATTTCATGAAATATGATGGATTTTTTTGTTTTCTTAGGCTAAAATATCTCGTAATAGAAACATTATTTTGAGCTGAAATTTTCAGAACATTCTACTTACCAATAGATCTATTTGTAGAGAAATCTCAGACTGAAATATCTTCATTCGAGTTTGTTGGTATATATATCATGTCAGAAACTTAAATTCTAGTAGAATATCTAAACTGACTTATCCTTGTGAATATTTTTCATATCTCACTGAAGTCTATCCGATGTACAGAATTGAAATTCAAAAACACTCGATTAATAGAAAACGTTCCTTCGTTTGAAGGTCTACAATCATTTTAGTCATTTATTCAAATATAGTCAAAAAATTTAGTATCATAATAATTATGAATTGAATAAGATCGGCTAATATTAATTTTTAAAAAATTCAGATTAGTTACTACCCAAGCGAGCCGAAAAAGACATGCGAGAGGTGCGCCGAGCCCTCGACCCATCTGAAAATGGCAATCCGAGGGGTCGATTTGAAATTCCGATTGGCCCAGAGCCTGATGGTAGGTACATTGATAGTTAGCAGAAGCACGAGATCGAAACTTTGAAACATCTATGATGGTACAATTTTGAGACACGAGCTATACCCATCGGAATTTCAAATCGACCCCTCGGATTGCCATTTTCCGATGGGTCGAGGGCTCAGCGATGGGTATTTTAGGAGACATCGAGAGTGCAAAATTGAGGCGTCGAAATACCCCTCGAAAGGCCAGTTGGGTATTTTTAGTGACACAGTTAACACTATTCCATTTCAGTAACACTCATGCCATTTAATACAGTTGATAGCACATTCAATCTTGTGTGTAGATGATAAATCTCATTGAATCGAATAAATGATCTGCTTTTAAATTTCTTTGCAAAATGAAATTTTCGAAACGTTCATGTAATAAAGATTTCGGATTGTTACCGTTAAGAACGTGCAAAACTCCATATATGAGAAATTTTGATGAAAGATAAGATTTTTTTTTCCTATTCTCTTATATGAAAAATCTTCCTTGAAAAAAAGAAATAAAGTTCGGACTAGGTAGCCTGGAATGAAATCTTTCTAGATCAGACAACGCATTTTGAGTCCTGATGAAAAAGGCTACTGTTTGGCTTCTAGTTAAATCATCTAAAAATAGATCCATACAGATCATTATTTGTATTTACCTTTCGATCGTTCACGTCTTGAATCTGTATTGGATAATTTCAATGGTGATGAAGGTGATATATTATCAATAATTGATAATTGTTGTTGTTGTTGTTGTGGTGGTGGTTCATTAGCATATGGTTGTTGAAGAGTTGAACGCCAAGCAAGACTATGTTGTTTTCGTTGATGTTCTTGATGTAAACGATGATTTTCTTCAAATAATTCATCATTTCGTTGTTTAAGCATTCTAAAAATGAACGAGAAAAACAGAAAAAAAATAAATAAACATTTTGTTTTTAAAATGAATTCTAAATATACTTTAAATCATTTCGAAGTGAATTAAATTCTTGATAAAGTAATTCATCATTACGTTTTTTAGCATCAGTAAGCTAGAAAAATAGAATTAAGAAAAAAAAAAAAACAATCATTAATCATTTTCAATGATGTATAAATAAATTCTAATCATGCACTAAATTCAAGCAAATCAACCTGAGAACATTGTTTTTCTCGAGAAAAAAATGTATCTGATGCAAATGAGGGATCAATAAGAGAAAGAAGTATTGAAAGTTTTTTATTTATTTTCTATAGATAATTTAAAAAACAAGAAAAATTTGTTTATTATTATTATTATTTAAATTATTTACTTTTTGTTGTAATTCTTCATTTTCTCGTTTTAATTGAGTCATCGTACGATCAGTTTGCTGTAAATGTTGTTTTAAATTTTCATTATCATTTGTTAATGTACGCACTTGTTTTTCATAAGCTTCTAAATTAAAACGAAAAAAAATACAAAGAACTTTTTGTTTTTTTTTTTTTTGTATTTTCTTTTTTAAGCAAGAAAATAAATACGAACTTAATTTTTTTTCTAATGCTTCTTTTTGATATAGAGTAGCTTCATCTAATTTATTTGAACGATTAATAATACCATTTTGATGTTGTTGTTGTTGAAGTTTTGCAATTAATTCTTGTTGAGAACGTAATTCATTTTGTAAAACATCTTTTTCACGACGAAGTGTTTCAGTTTCACTATTATTCTAA